AGTTGTATCCACTGATCTGGGAAAGCAACCCCCCATCACATCTCTCAGTCTCCCTCTCACTCGAGTTCGCGTCCTCTGTGACACAGTTAAAGTGTTGTGCTGCATTGCATTTGAGTATTCACAATTCGTTCGTACATGTACAGAATCACACCTCACTTGATTCATTGTGAACCACCAAATAAGTATTGTATCTGATCCGCTTATGTCACTTAAATTCTCATGGCAATACAAATTCACTCATACAAAGAATTTAGACGCTTATATGAATATCATTGGTATTTTAAATTTCACCACTTAATGAAAATTCACTACAAAATGGTAGTAAAATTTAACTACTCCCTCCTTCTGGTAGAAGCTTTTAAGAGGGCGTGCAATAAATTTTAACTACTCCCTTCTTTTCATAGAAGTTTTTAAGGGAACATGCAATAAATGTATTATTTCTTTTTAAAATTATCAAATTTTTTTTTTAAGTTTAAATATGTATATTACTCGAGTTGGCATCCTTTACAACGTACATCGTTAAAGTGTTATCAGGGCGGCTCAATATAATTTGAGACCTTCAACGAAAAAATAAAATGATCTTTTAATAGAGTCTATCAATATGTTTATACTTGTAATATGCTCATTATTTGTTTTGTGATTTTTAAGTGTAGTACTAATTTTTTTTTCAATCTCTAGTTCTATCGTTAATTAATTGACTATATACTTTCTAGAAAACATATTCAACAATATAAATAAAAATGATGACAACTCACAACCAAAATAAATAATTTTATGATAACAAAATTTAATAAAACTATAAACTAGTTGAAGTTATAAAACAATAGAAACTGATTTCGAATAATTTAGTCCAATATTCCAAAAAATTCTTTAACAGAATAAAAGTTCATTCAAAGTCTTGTGACGGAGTAAGGTTGTAAATTGTAGGAGTGGAGAAGATGAAAAAAAAAAAAAAAAAAAAAAAAAAAAAAAAAATTATAATGAGAAGAGAAAAAATATGTTAAAAAAAAAAAAAAAAAGTTAATAGGTGTCTTAAAAAAATATAGAAAGTTTCACAAGTTCCACCACCATGAATAATATTTATAATTGGTGTAGTAATATACATGTATATGTGTGTGTATACGCTCATGTAATAAGGATGAGAGAGATTAAAAAAAAAAAAAAAAAAAATGTAATATAAATATAGAAATATTGTGGGCTTAATATTAAATTTCTCTATTGATTGAGGTTTAATGATAGAAGAAAATAAAAATTTTAGGTAGCTTATAATATATAAGGAAAAAATTTTGGGCCCTGAAAAAAGAAAGAAGAAGGTGATAAAAAATAGAAATCTTGTAGGTTATTGTCAAATCCCTCTATTTGTTGATGTTTAATAATTAACATAATTATTTTAAGAAGTTATAATATATAAAGAAATAAAAAATTATGAAACCTTTTTATTGTTTGGGGCTTTAGGAGATAGCCTAACTCGCCTACCGACTGCCTGTATTTAAGGATTCACAATTCTCTCCTATAGTTACATAATCACACATCTCACTTAACTCATCCTGATCCATCAGATACAGTATACTATTGTACTTGATTCACTTTAATCCTCATGAGTGAACGCTGTGAAGTATACAAATTCAAACACTTACATAGTTGGTACTTCAAATTTTACCACTTAATGAAAATTCACTATTAAGTAGTAAAATTTAACTACTTTCTCTTTCTCATATTAGTTGTTCAAGTTAAGAATTAGAAATTTCAAAAGAGACATGCATAGTCCCCATCTGAAATTATAGTACAAATTTATCCTTTTAAGGTTAAATATGTATATTACTAAGTTAGAATTTTTTTAAAAAGTTAAAAGGTAATAATGGAAACATAAACTTATTTTGCTTTTACTTCTCAGAGTAGACAACTAATTTGAAACATTCTAAAGAGGGAATATGAACTACTAATTTCAGGAGGAGAGAATATAATAGTAGTGAAATTTCAAAGTAAACTTGAGCTGAGAGTAGCATTGGTAAAGTCATGGTGGAGAATTCCCTTTTTGGTAATTGGGGGAAACTAATCCCATCCTAAACCTGAGCTTTTATTGTAATTATTTCAGCTTTAATTGAAACAAATCCAAAAACGTAGCTTGATGAATATAGAGTATAACCAAATTGTATTAATAATTCAATATGTTGTTAATGAATGATCATCCAAAACAAAACCATCTAATTTGTATTGGTTAAGCAGTCAAGCTCAATATGTTTGTTGACAATCAAACTTCTTCTCTCAACACATATACATTGCACATTTATGATAAGGTTGTCCTATTAATTTAACATTGCTCAACATATCTTGACAAAAAGATTTCCACTCTCTCACTCTATATATATATATATATATATATGTATGATGAATTAATTGGAATGAGTTCATGATATATTGTGGCAACTCATGTTTTTGTCAACCCATTTGCTCTCTCGTCCTCTTTCTGATTCTCACCGTAGATTTGAGGTGGCAGTGATACAAATCCCACCATGGTATGGTGACAAAGGGCCGAAAGCAGTAGACCAACAGCGACAAGGATAAGATGATGTTTCACTCTTTTCAATTCCCCATAAAAGACCCTCCTCAATTCTTCCATTTATCATTCACTCACTAATTGACCAACTTTTCTATTTTGCTCCCATTTCACACCAACCCACATCACTACCCCCCTCCCCACCCCCCCCAAAAAAAAAAAAAAAAAATCAGGCCTTGTTTTGCAAAATATGTCTACATACATATCTCGCTAACATGAAGGATAAAAGTGTTATTTAAAGATTATAATATCACTTTTCGTCATTATATTAGTGATCATTTGACGGTAAGGGAGTTATGTGCAATTCTTTTTGTAGATTAGGAGTGTTATCTATTAAAATAAAGTATAAGGGAATAAACTACAACAAATTGATTATAGAGGAGGTTAAATGCAATTCATTAAAAATAATAATTAACATATATATATATATATATAATTGTAACAATTCCTTTTCACATAAATATTTACACTAAGCTAATGGCCTTCTAGTGACTTGTATTCTGTCTTACTAGAGTAGGATTTTGTAGTCTCAATGAGGAGGCAATTCATTCATGAAAAATTTGCTTGATTAGTTGAAATGCAAACTTGAAACTTTAAAAAGAGCCTAGTATGATGATTTACATTGAAATTTCATTTACAAGCCTTTATGATCAATTTCTCTCCCTTTTTTTTTCATTATTGTAATGCAAAAGCAAGTACTAGTAGTTTGATTTCTCTGTTACAATTTTTATTTTTTGCCAACCTTACCATAAATGTAAAAGCAAGGAGTTTTTTCAATCTCTTTTATAGTTTCCCTGCTAAATTTGCTAACCTTTTTTTTATTGGTTTCCAACAAGTAAATGTTAGGCTAGAAAATAAAGTGAATTTTGTCAAAAAAAATTTCCTTTCACAACTATTTCTTATTAGCTAAGACATATGAATAATTATAGAATTTGATGGAATGAAATTGTGACAAATGTCAAAAAGATTTCTTAAGTGGCACTCAGCCATATAGCTGCTGCATTTAGGATAATGTTAACCCAAATTTGGGTTTGTTTGCTCCTTCATCAACAAGTTTTTTTCCCACCAAAAGTATTCCTAACTTGCTAAATTTGGTTTCTGCATTGTCTCATTTAACAAGTTTCCTTCCACTTGTGCTTCTTCAGAAACTTAGTCCATCATCACAAGAAGCATCTTCAATAAAGCTAGGCTGATTTCCCTCTATATTATAATTGGGAATTAATTCAAAAGAAAATTTAATTGCTTAGAACACTATTTAGAAACTTTATCAAAATTATATAGAGTTTGATTGTCTTTGCATGTGTTCCATTCTAAAGGTGTGTGAAAGGGATTAAACCAAACTTTGGGTCTTCTTTTATTAAACTAATTTGGAACATGTTTTGGATAATGAAGGTGGGGTGACCTGCAAATTTTGGGAAAAGCTGGGCAAGTTAATCATCATATTCAACACTAAATTCAGACTCACATATAAAAAACACATAGTAGGGATGAGAATCCATCCAATTGGTTGTCCACTGTGACCAAACACCCTCTTTGTTTTCAAACCCTAAAGCTGTTCTTCCTTCTTCTTTTTTTTTCTTTTTTTTTTTTTTTCCTATTTTCCGTGGTAAAAGCAAGTAAGTCCATCACTAAATCACCCCTAGTTGGTTGGCCTTTTATAGTACAGATTTCTACCAACTTCTAACCATTGCAGCAAGTTGGTTTTTACTTTTTACAGCTAACCCTAGCTTAGGGCCCTACCAAACCCCTCCCCCTACATTCTTTTTGAACAAAAGGTTAAAAAATATATATTTTATAATTGTGACCAAACACCTCTTCTTATGCTCTTATACATCAGCAATACTTTGTTTTTTTTTCACTCTCTTTACCCTTTTCTTTTCAAATGTAAAAGCAAGTGGTTCTATTGATCCACATATGGTTTCTTTGCTAATTCTTTCATTAGTTGGACCTATTTAATTCATTAAGCCTTAAGAACACAACTTTCTCATCTTCATGTGAATCCAATGTCCACTAAGCTGTGTTTGGGTCATCCCAAAAAGTGTCAAAAAACTCAGTTAGCACTTTCAGGACCCCCTTTTTTTGAACAGTGGGCCATCCCAATGACATCAACTCTCATTAAAAAAAAAGGAAAAGTGTTTTGTCTGACTCATCATAACGCGGAAGGAGCTTAAGGCTTGGAATGATCTATGACCAAATCGAATTAAATCCTCCAAAATCTCTAATCAATGCCCTTAATTAACTGTCATTAATATTATTTTGGCGGGAAGTTAGCTACTGTTTAGGTGTGAACGGTTTGGGGTTTTTGTGGGCCCATTTGGAATTTGGGGTTCGCTCCAGACAAGCAATCATCAACCTTTCGGTGTTCATGTTTTTGGACTATTGGTTCGTTCCTCCAGGCTCCAAACCCTTATATAAAACCCATCCCACACTCCTCTGTTTTTACTCTACACAACTCTTCCCCTCTCTCTCTCTCTCTCTCTCTCTCTCTCTCTAGGCTCACAAATAGCTCTTCATTTTTTCAAAATCTTTTTTCTGGGTCATAAATTTTGAATTCAAACATTCAAAATCTTGCACTTTTGAATAATTTTGAATGGTTTTGGCTACTGGGTATTACAAAAGGTTCCATTTTTGGAAGTTCTAACTGCTTTTTTAGATTCTGGGTATTGTTGAAAATTAGTTATTTTCAGTTGATTTTGCTTAGGGTTATAATTTCAAACTGGTTGGTGGGGGGGTGTTTTTCATCATAAAGAACAAGGGTTGAATTTTGTGGAAGATGAGTCTGTTGTTCAAGGGGTGCATTTTATGGAAGTTCTTTGCAATTCTTGAGAAGAAGTTTTGTGTTGCGAAAAGCTTTTACTTTTGGATTTTCCAGATTTTCAATAGGTACTGTTTGGGCAGTTAACTAAGAGTTTTGGATTGCTGTCTCTCAACTTTTTTCTACACTTTGCTCTGTTTTTTTCTCTAGCTTGGAGATTTTGGATAGTTTAGAAGAGTAGGAAAATGGGCGGGGCATCATTGCCGCCCGGATTTCGTTTCCACCCAACCGATGAGGAATTGATTGGGTATTACCTGAAAAGAAAAGTTGAGGGACTGGAGATTGAGCTTGAAGTGATTCCGGTGATCGATTTGTACAAATTCGACCCATGGGAGTTGCCAGGTATTCTTTGGGAAAAATTCTTTACTGTTATGTGTTTTGTTTTGGTTTTCAGTGACGTCAATGCACTCCATTTGAATTTGGTCATATGTAGTATATATATAAGCCATGAGGACTAAATGTTTGAAAAAATTGCATAGAGAACATTTTACGGTTTAAAGGAGACATGACCTAAGGCTTATAATTGAAATCTTATCTACATTTGCCATGAATTAGTTGCAACTGTTTTTGTTGCGGAGTTCATTTTTTTTAATGTTCTTGATGTATTTAGTTTGTTTTCATTTTCAATGAGATCTAGTCAGTTCATCTGAATCTGTTCATTTGGATAGAAAATGAGTCATGAGAAGTAAATGTTGCAAGAATTGTATATAAAACATCTTATGGTTTGGAGAGCATATAACTAGGCTTATTGTTTTTTTGTTGGGCAGTCATCAATTAAGCCAACTCACTCCATTTTTAATGTGCTTCGTGTATTATTTTGTGCTTAGATGGAAATTAAATTTGTTGTATATGAATGATGACATATGTTGTTGGTGCCAATTTGCATAGAAAATTTGTGAGTGTTGGAAAGTTGTTGCTTTTATGCTTTGTGTTCTCTTGTTTGTTTCTTTTATTCTCCCCTTTATGAACTAAGCCACTGGCAAGTATGTATTTCTGTGGGGCATCTCACTTTTTTCTGCTCAAAGCCGCTTCCATCGGGTGTGTGGTTTCTTTTCATTTTTTTATTAAACCACGTATCATTACAAGAAAAGAACAACTTCTACAGTAGAAGTTTCTTACTGTTTCAATTTTTCCCCTCCAATTTCCTTTTATCGGAAATTTGAGAATTCTGATATGTAAGCCATGAATTGCAGAGAAATCTTTTCTCCCCAAAAGGGATATGGAATGGTTCTTCTTCTGTCCCCGGGATCGGAAATACCCCAATGGGTCACGAACAAATCGAGCTACCAAAGCTGGCTACTGGAAAGCCACTGGTAAAGACCGGAAAGTAGTCTGTCAGTCTTCTGTGACTGGTTACCGTAAGACCTTAGTTTTCTATCGTGGACGAGCCCCATTGGGAGATCGAACAGAGTGGGTAATGCATGAGTATCGCCTCTGTGACGATATTTCTCAAGGATCACCAAGTTTTCAGGTAAATTCAGTAATCTCATTTAATGTTTTAGCTTTAATTCCTATATTGTTCCACTATTGAGAGACTAAAATAGTACATGGCCACTGAAATTCTCATTGTAGGGTGGTTTTGCTTTGTGCCGTGTCATTAAGAAGAATGATCACACACTGAAAACGAGTGATGTTCATGGAGAACCAAAAGCTAAGCAGGTTGGAAGTAGTTCGAGCAATATGAATTTCACCTCAGCAGGAATCTCAAATGAGGCTGCGATCATTTCTGATGACACACATTTTCAAACAAGTTATCCATGCAATGAGAGTAATTATTCTAGCACTATCACTTCTCCATATCAGACATCAATGATGGAGTGTGAACCGGCTTCAATGGGGACTAATCCTACAAGTCTCTGGGTCTCACCTGATTTAATTCTTGATTCCTCAAAGGTTCTATAATTGATTTTTGACTTTTGTATTTGCATTATCAGGAGTTTTGTTATTGATGATGAATTTCTCGAACATTTTTTTTTTTTTCTTTATGGCTCACAACAGGAGTACCCACAAGGACAAAGTGTACCTGGATTCAACCCACAGTATGAGTTTCCCAACTCCATGAGTACATGGCAGCCATATAATCCTTATGAAATCTCTCCTAGTTCATCATACTCAAATTTTACAGAGGAAGTTGAACTTGCTGATGATCTCAATCGATTTAGCAGCATGTCACCTTACTCGGGAAATGTGAACTACATGGGCTTTCATGGAAATGAGGATGTGTCATATGAAGGTTATGACCAGAACAATTCACTACGAAATCCAAACCCCTTCTGAAAATCAAATGGCTATCTCATATTTTCTTTAATGCAGGGTTTGGAACTTGGAACCAAACTCCAATTTGCAGACAGAGTAGTGGAGATGGAAGTTTGGGAGAACTTGGCAGTCTATGGTCACAGGAAGATAATTTAGTTATTGTGATGTAATACTCAGCCAAAAATCAGGGCAATCCTACTAGTTTTACCTTGTAATAAGCTAGAATGAGTGTCCAAGACAACGCCTTTTATCGTTGTTCTTGGAGTGGGAAACCGTGATCACTAACCCTTCTAGTATCTCAAGCAGAAAGGATTTGCTGCAAAAATCCCTGATATGGTTAGTATTGGTATAGTAAGTGTTCAGTCTTTATGGTTTATGTTGTTACTTTTTGGGTATCCCTAGTGTTGATCACTTTTATCGATCGCACTGGTAGTTGGTGTAGCTTGAACTATCTTCATGTTATAAAATAAGAATCTTGTATGGAAGCTATTCACTGTCAAACACTACTCTGTAATTTTAAGTTCCTGAAAGCCATCTTTCCTTCTTTTGAAGTATTGTATGAAGCATTATCCTCATCTGAAAAGAACATCTATGTGCCACTGGAATGTCTTCAAATCTATGTTCGGGAATATGCTTATCGCGGCAATTTTAAGGGTAATAAACGTGTCCATGCATGGTATATGACACTCTTTAAGTAATCAAACACTTTTCGTTTCATTTTTCTTCTTGTAGATGTTGTGTTTTTTGTGAAGTCTGATCACGTGTTGATTACGTGAAGGATTTGGGAAGTTAATTGTTTCTATGCTATGGTTACTGGCATGTTTGAACCGGTTCCACTGGAGTAGTTGATTTGAACTTCGGCTATTGCCAACGTTGAATTAGTTCAGCTTCCTTGAACCGGTTCAAGCGGGGCAGTGCGATGTAGCAGTTTGGGCAACAAAGTTGAACCGGTTTCGAAAAGCTGAACCGGTTCAACTCTCCTGAGAACTTACATATTTTAACTTATTGATTTTGGGCTCTACAAAAGACAATTTCTTGTAGGACAAATTATTTGAGGCTATATATATATCAATTCTAATCAGATTTTAGGGTGTGGTGAAAAATAGAGAGAAGAAAAAAGAGAATCATCATACGTATTGTATGATTGATTAATTTGTACCCACACAAAAGAGCAATTGAGAGAGAGTGAGAGAAAATTCTCTATTGTAATTCTTCATATTTTTCATAGTGAATTTGTTTGGTGTGCTCCATAGACGTAGCCCTAAGATTTAGCGCGTAACTCTAAGATTTGGGTGAATCTTATATATCTTGTGTTCTTGTGTGATTTTTTTTTTTTTTTTGATTGCTTGTGATTATTTCTCGAACAACATTGTTTATTTTATGTTTCCGCCACAACGACTGGTATCAGAAATCCGGTTGATTGTGCATAACAACTCCAACAGTAGATTACAATGTCATACACCATTTATCAATCTTATGTGTTGGGCATTCATGCTTGTTTTGGTTCCTTACTACGCGGCTTCTAGTCACATACCTCAACATGGTCTTGGTCCCGTTTTATATTTGCTTGGCATGCAAATTAGACAGAATACTTCTCAAAGTTCTTAAAAAATGTCAGTCTCAAATGATCTAAATAATGGGAATGAGACAAATTCCATTGAAAAGTTGTCTCGAGACATAATCCCTAAACTTAAGGCTCTTGTCTTTACAACTTGGAAGAGCATGGCAGTTTGGAGGGTACAATGTAGATCCAACTTGCAGATCTTTCATGAATTTCTGTCTTCAACACAAGCATGATACAGATTGATGAGTTAGTCATTGCACAGCATCATTATGACCGTGTTTCTATAGACATTCTGTCCCTTGATTTCTCCCATATAAAGTGGTACTGTAGCAAGCACTACAGAGGAGCATTTCTTTAGTCAACTAAAACTCATTTCCTTGCTTTTAATCATGTAATCTTGTACCAGTTCCATCATTTCACTTCTAAAATCAACATTCTTGGAACTTGGAAGCAATTCAAGGATACTGATTTGATCTTCATATTGAACTTTCACTTTAAAGATTTACACACATTTTTAGGTTTATATAGGTGTATATTTTATATATCCTAATGGGATCAAACTTGTATATATTAGTGGATGGTATTACAGCTGACCATTTCAAGAAAACAAGTGAAGTGACCTATAGAAGAAGCAGGTACACCCTTCTACTGGACTCAACTTTATAGTTGAAGAAGTTACATGGTTAAGCACTTTTCTGTCAAAATTTACCTTCCTACAGTGGGGGAAAAACATCAGAACCATACTTCAAAAAGTAATTTAAATGTCCTTATATTTAATCTTTCCCTGGAATCACTTCTTTTTTTATATCAACTTCCAGTCATTAGCATGAACAGATTATGAAAGAACTAAATGCAACTTTTACTTGCAAATATTCTGATTGCTAAGGGAATTGTGAAGCAGCGGCTCGATAGTCCATCAGAAGGTGTAGGCCAGCTAGCATACAAGAAGCTCACATTTATCTGGACTGAAAATTCCAAATTGGCCAAAGAAAGGGCAGCAATGGAACTTTAAGGAAGTGCTTTTAAAAGCCTATAATCTATGAACTCTTTTCATGCAACACCAACTAATATTCCCTATAATAATACATTTCCACCCCCCCTACTACTTCATCTGCAACATCCACCACTTGGACAAAGGAGTAACGAACAAGCGTGTCACACCCCCTTTTTCTTCTAGTGAGCAAATGAAGTGATTGTTAATGAAATCCCTTTCAGATATTTCTTTTTCTTTTTGGCCTGCTCTGTAAAGATTATGCTCCACTTGGTTGGATTGAAAATGGTACAAGGAAAGCAACTGTATTATTAAATTTTGATGACACGAATATCACTATTTTGATATATGTTGCTATGCTTTATTGTAGTAGTATTTGCATATGAGCAAAGCGGACAGTATCTACACAGGATTGGGTGGGGCAGGTCATGACAGAAAGTCTCTCAATCCAACTGCTGCAAGGGGATGCGGTCACTATGAGAGCCCTCCCTTGATAGCATTTTCCTTTGCATTACTTGAAATAGACGAGAGGCAAACAAGGTAATGAAACAGGAGTATTTCATCTGTTTAATGGTTTTGTAGAGAAGTAAGAACTGTTATTCATTTAGTATAGACTTGCAATTTGTGGGCTACAAAACACTTGCACTTCTTCAAGAGTAGTCTTGGACTCATCCCCAAACAATGACTCCTTCCCATCTGGCCTTTTAGCATAAGACAGTCCTAACCTAGACTTTGCTTGCCTTAAGTCACCAATGCCTGAATTGGTATCAGGTCCTGCAAATCCACCCATAACTGGTGCCAATGGCGGTCCAATGAGCAACCCATCGGCCCCAAATTGTGGCCCTCCTCGTGCATAATCGAAAAGGGCTGCACCACTTCCTCCTACTTTTGGGAGAGTGATGGGGTCAGTCTCTTCATTGTCTGTCCAATAAAAGAGAAATGCATCAAAAGTGTCATAGTAGTCATCTGTACTTCTGTAGCCTTCAGGGCTAAATGCACCAAACTTGAAGGACTTGTTTGTGTAGCCAACTATAACACATGGTCCCTTGAAGTCACAGCAGTTGTGGAAGTCAGTCGCGCTAAAACCGTTGATGGTGACCTTATAGCAGCATTTGAGTTCTCTACCTGCTCATGACCATCCCATAACTCAGGACCATTGCTGGATTGCTACATTCTAGTGCATTTTTTGTGTGCAATACAAGATTTGATGCAATTAATGCTGATTGGTATCGCGTTTTGAAGATAAATTTTCCCAAATGTGTTATTCTAGGACCTTAACAAATAAAGGCCAGTAAACAAATCCCATGACTTAAATGAAACAAATTGGAAATGCCTAAACCTTATTACACCAACAGGATGGGCAGTGCTATTTGTACTTCACCTTCAGCTTTCACTGTTTCATGTGATTAAGTGCAAAACAAATTTAAAAGCACATTGAGGGACAAAAGCACCAAATAAGTGAAGCAGATATCCTAGCTTTACTAGTAACAAAATTTCTAATAATGGCAACTTTTTAAACATGTGCAGCCAATTTCATTTTAACTTAATATTGCTCATATACCCATAATAGTGGTTAGTCCATCAAGATTTCTTCCTATATATTTTGGCTTCTTCTTTTGTATCTAGATAATTATCTCTTTCTCTAGATTAGTTTGACAATGATATATATGGCATGCCAAGGTTTGTCATTTGTGTGTGCGCGTGTGAGAGAGAGAGAGAGAGTACCTTTTAAGAATGTTTTGCCAACCAAAGAAGGTGGGAAGGGAAGATCAATGTCATGGTACTTGGGCTGTGGCCTATCATCAGTGTTTCTCTTACCTATATTCCAACCAAATAAACACTGTGGGCTTGTCTTCCAGTTCTGGAATACATAGTTTGACACACAAAAAGCCATCTGCAGATGGCAAAACCACATTCAACACTTCATTCACTACCAACCTCACAAAAATCATAAAATAAAAAAAATAATAATAAATAAATAAATAAAAAGATACCTTATCCTTTGTTAGTTCTTCTCTACCAATCAAATAATCCAGTGGCAGATTACATTTTTCTGTGTTGGCTTATGCATAACTAGCGGGACAGTTAGCTCAATGTTCTTCATTGCTATTGATCAATCTCAATGATTTGGCTTATCATGGCCAAAAATGCCAATACCAAATTGAGGGAAAGGAGATTTGAGCCCGGTTGTGAGGAAAAGGGTATGCCTTTGTTTTAACCAAAAAAAAAAGGCTGAAATTGCCAATTCAACTTAAGTGGGCCTATTACCAATGAAAGCCCATTGGTATGGAACCGCAACCCTGTCGCCCATTGATTAACTACGCTAACTTATATATAGTAAAATAAGAAGCAGCACTTGGGTCCTTAGCTCAGTGGTAGAGCATTTGACTGCAGATCAAGAGGTCACCGGTTCGAACCCGGTAGGGCCCTGAGGTTTTTGATTTTTTTTCACTGTTTAATAGCAAACCCCTGAGGTTGACTCTTGAAACTGTATGGTTGAGCCATTCAAGTAAAAGACCTGGAATCTATTTAAATTCAGAAATTGAACTCATATCCTCTATTTCAAATTGATCATCAGTTACAACTAAACCTAGACAATTATGCTTTTACATATTAAACGAAACAGTAGAATAAATTTGTGTATGTAACTATGGCTTTCACATATTAAACGAAAGAGTAGAATAAATTTGTGTATGTAACTATGTATATTGGAAATTAAACTATTGAACTCATATCTCTCATGCTCCACACTTTCACTATCATTCTGTGTGATTAAGATTTCACTCCTCTCACACTTTCGTTCTATGTGACTTAAGGTTACAACTAAACAAGACAATTATGGTTTTACATCTTACATCTTACATCTTACTCGCGCTGTGTCATGATACATTGCCTTTGTAGTGATCAATAGGCAGAAGTGAATCCCATATGCTTCGTTTGGTAAGATGGAATTAACTATAAAAGAAAGGAAAGAGAAAATTTTTAAATTTTTTTTAGAGTTTGAATAGATGGAAAAAGAATCGTAATAGAAAATATAGTTTCCCGCGTTAGGTTACTTTCTCCCAAAACTTTTTTCACACAAAACACGAGGAAATAATATTTTCTCGTGAAAATTGGTTCTTTTTATTTGAAATTCCTATTTTATCCAACAACTGAATTATGTAAAACAATTAATTTCTTTATTTTCTAACTGAGTTTCTTTTCTACTAGAGACAAGTTCTTTAACAATTTATATTCTAGTAGACTTCTAGAAAGCAACTTCTCTCTAAACATATTCTATTGTAATACTATTTGGACGATTTTTTTTTTTTTTTTTTTTGTTCCAAATATATACATTGTATCATATATATTATACATCTCTATTATATAGACAGAGAATAATATATATATTTTTCTCTTTTTGTGTTCTCTTGTTGAAAGTCCATGAGCCCAAATTTTTTATTTTAATTTTAATTTTTAAGCTTTCTTAATTCTCTTAAATGAATAGATAGTTCTGTTTCTATGGTTCTACATAATATTGTCTTGAAGTATTGTTTTAATTTAAACAATATAAATAATTATATTATTAAAATTTAATAATTCATCATTTTATTAAAACTTTGAATAAAATAAACATCATCAAACACAAATTTATTTATTTTTTGAGTATTTGAAATCATAAGGGTAATTTTGGTATACACGATAACTTTGTTTTCATTTTCATGCTATCCAAACTAACAAACTAATATTTTCATATAATTTTCTTGAATAAATTTTCATGCTAACCAAATGCTTCATAGGAAAAAAAAATTTTCTTTTCTTTTCATTCACTTCACTTTTCTTTTCTTTTCTTACTTATTTCTATCTAACCAAACGAAACCATATAGAAAAGCTTCTGGTAATTGTGGCTCAAAATAGACTGAAACATTTGGATGATTTAGTCCATCTTGAAGATATAAGATGAGATTAGATAGGTCCATGAGAAGTCGAACATAATCTCTCATTAGGGAAAAAAATAATCTTTTAACATCCAACCTAGCTAAGTAACTGATTACTACATGTACTTTGACAATAAACCAGCCATAGAAATCAATATAACAGTATGTATATATATATATATAAATATATCTCTACAATCTCTGGCCTCATGAGTTAATCTGCTCCCTGGGATGGCAAATGGTTCCCTAAAGGGGCTGCATTTTCCCTTTTCGGTCTCTCCACTGTCACAATAACTTCATCACCAGGTATGAACTCTTTGAAGCTAGCTATCCTCCCCAATTCTTCCACTTCCATAATTACAAGATCGAGCCTAGCCACTGTCTCCACTAGCAAAGAAGCGAAAGCAGCAAATGGAAGTGCTTCCGAGAACTCAAGACTAGTGATGTTGATCTTACTTAAGGTTGGCCTCAACACCTTTCGTTCGTTTTCCCTCATTTGTTCAGAAGACCTTTTGCCTTTCCATTCCAGCAATGCAGATGAATCCGTCTTCACACTTGGTAGTGACACTCCAAAGTCCTTGTCGGATCTCTGTCTGGCAGTTGCAGCTGCTAGGGCTAGCATGTTGGTAGCTTGGTTCGTGTTGGGGCCAAGGAAGAGCCTTGGTTGTGATTTTATGGCCGTGTTGAGGTCTTGTAACGCTTCATGGAGATGATCGGATAATATCTCTGGAGGACATTGGCGACGATTCCTTATGCTATCGGCTAGCTCCACTAGAACTTTGGATACTTCTCCAGCTACTCGAATGCAGGGGTCCTTGAAGAGGGCACGAACAGAGCGTGGAGTCTATAAAAAAAATATAATAATAAAAAATAAAAACAGGCTTAGTCTTGATTTTGGAGAACAGAAAAACAGATATTTCAATTGAATGGTTCAGTAATGACTTGGAAGCAATCAGCACAAGCCAACTCTATAACACCACCATATTTTTTACAAATTGTTTCAATGTAAAAATATTTACCATTGTTTTGTTTATTTCAAATATGATATTGCCACATCAATCTAGGAATAAGCAGTGCTCACAATGTGTATCAAAGGTTGTGTTTTTTAGTACAAGGGGTTCAGATTTGTAGATGTATGTGCTAAGAAACACTTTGGGTATAGAGTGGACATAGAGTGTATACAATAAACAGGTTTTGTGTATACTGAATCTACTATACGATGCTCTAAGAAGTCCGACACCACCATTGTCTGACAAATATATATATATATATACACACACACACTATATGATGCATCCATGAATCTACTAGGAACATTGTTCCAGCAGTAATTAATAGAATGTTTTCCAAGCTACATTGAATCTGGCTCTACAAAGTGACTTCCAACAAGGAGTGAGATGTGATTTGAAACAACTAAAAAAACCAGATTATTTTAAAGTACTGCATTAGGAATCTACTTTTGAAAAATACATTATTAATTGCTTCATCTCTGGATTGGAATTGTTTTTGCTTCTTTCCAGAAAAGGCAAGATTTTGGCTACTATGGATAAGTGCTATTTGTTTATGAACTCAATTCAACCTGTTTTGGGCAGGGACGTACCTAATTCATGTTTGTCCACTTTTAGTTGTAGGTAGTTAAAGGTCTAAACCATGATCATATAAAAATATTATTGAAAAAAAAAAAAATGGAATATTTGTTACCTGAATCTCAGTTTGCAAACAACCATGTAGAGCCACAACTGTGTATCCGAAATGGCGAAGAACATCTCCCAATTTTACATACTGCTGCCAGGGAAACCTGTAACAGTGTCTGGAGTGCCTCGGCTCCCAACTTGCATGCCGTGCCTGCTCAACCCGAAATATATCATATGTTTTTCCCATTAGCACTGGTAAATTTAGTGACTTTAGTCCCCTAAAACCCTAATACATAAACCTAATCAAATTAGAGAAGAGAAAGATATAATTACCCGAGTTTCATCAGCGGACTTTGAGTCCAGAACTGCCTTATAGCCCTTGTAAATGGGGTCTTCAGGAGGAATGTCTCCACTCACTTCTTCCTCCTCATCATTGAAGTATTCATCGACACAAGCTGCATTTTTTGTATTGAACTTTTAGTATATAACCATGCATTGTTTGGCCATTGAATAAATGTATACTAAGTGACTACTCAAATTTGATGATTGTCAATAATGTATTTATGATATAACTATATGAAATTATTTACCCAATATATATATATGAAACTTCTGCGTACCTTCAATAGATTTGGCTAATCCTTCAAACTTGGAAACAGTGGAACTATGGAGGTCTTCCCCTGACCAATTTGGGAATATGAGTAGTGTCATGAGAAGGCAGATACCACAACCAATGGCAATGGTGTAGAAGCGCTCGTGAGCTATCTGTAGCACATTGTCGACGCGATAACTCGACACAGTGATCAGATTGAAGGTCAAGAGAAATATCACTACACCATAGTCATAGTTCTTCTTTATGGAAGGGAAGAATCTCATGTATGTAGATACAAATCCTGTCAAAATTGCAAACTAACTAAGAAACAACATAAATAATAATAATAATATTTTTTATGATCAGCATTTTGTGTGATCAAAACATAAATTAGCTAGTCCAATGTGAATCATATCTTATAATGGACATTTAATGTTGTGACAAAAACATAAATGGGGCATTTATAATACTAATTTGTTACTCATTCTGTTCAAAATAGTTTTCATTACCTACTCAACAAGAGATGAACCTTACCGATCAGGAAAACTGCAGACCCAATGAAAACTGCTCGAAATACCCGACCCGACCGGTTTGCAACGTACTCCATCAAGAATGCTAATGATCCAGCCAGAAGGGTCCCAAATCCTCTGTTCAATCCTTTGCATAAAGTTGCCCCTATCACATCAACAAAATGTTAAATACTACAAAATAAAATAATAAAACACAAAGAGACAAATTTACTTGATTCACCCAAAATTAGGGTTAAGTTCACGGATTAACTTATACTCTTATAAAATTACATACCAGCAGTGAACTCAAGAACAACCACCACAGTCATGACAGCCCAAATAGCATTCTCTCCAATGCCTTTGAACAATGGCTCCATCAGATACAACAGTGAAACCAGTGTTAGGGCCAAGCCAACTTTGAGTGAGTGAATCGGTATTCGCGGATCTTCTCTACCCACCTTCCAAATTGTCTTCCATGTCGAGCCTGGCAATCTCTTCATTCTGTCCCCGAAGTTTTCAAACGGCTTCTTCACCATTAATTCCACCTTACTTTTGGTGCAACCATCTTCTCCACTCGTCCCTGAAACTCCAAACATTCTTTGATTGTAATATATATGTGTATATATATATATATGATCAATGATTGTGGATTTATAGTTATACAAAAAAAATGGAAGTTGTAGTGAACAACCCTGAGTCATATGAGTCTCAGGAGAGTATGTTATATGTTGAGTACAAGTGACATTATATATATATATTGCAGCTTTGGACTATAAATGTGCCACAACACCTCTCCCTGTGAGACGGGTGTTACTTTATATACATGTAGAGAGAGAAAGAGAGAGGAGGGAGAGTGAGAGGGAGGTTGGGGGTTGATGTGTTCTAATCACATGCTGTAGAATTAAAGTAAGAGCTGTAATGGGTTTCACAAGGAGTCAAAAGTCAAACTTGATTACGCGGAAAATGGTTTTTTTTTTTTTTTTTTTTTTTTTGGTAAAGCACGCACACTTTTTTTGCCCACGTTTAGGCTCAAATCCCTCCCCTCTTCTTTGAAGATGAGAAGGTTATACCGTTAGGCCAAAGTTCCTTTGATTGTTTGTGAATTGTTGGGAAAGCTAATTGTGTTATATATATAAAAGAGGTTTCTAAAATGCACCAGAAGGTAACAATGAATCACTGAGTCCCTGACACGTTCATAATTAGCATAATGATATGTACTGATGCAGAGATAAATAAGGTAATAGCTAAATTAAAGGGCGTGGCTTATGCAGGGCCCGAAGAAATTATTATGCAAATTACATGATTTTGATTAATCATCACATGTAAGTCAAATTTTTAAATAATATTAACATATTTATATAGGCGATGGGGTTAGAATTGAATTGGTAGGAATTATAGTCTCCAACCTTATAATAATTATTATTATTATTATTTTTTTTTTAATGTTCAAAGGGTACATTTTAACCAAAGGCATTTCACTTTTAAAGTAGAATGATATAAGTAAGGCATTTTATTTTTAAAGTCTTAGCTCATTTATTTTAAGGAGGAGGAAGTAAAAGCTAAGTATTAAGATATGTTTGTGATCTATGTTGCCAAAAAAAAAAATAAGAAGAAGAAGAAAGAGGTGCATTTGCTTACTTCCAAAGTTTCATACGATTCAGTCCTCCTAGTCAACGACTTCAATACAAGGGACTAAACCAGGGGAGTGCATAAATAGACTTAAATATATACATATAGTTTTATACTGTATATGTGTATGTATCACAAAATGTTGAAATTTTTCTTGCTATAAGTGTCTCTCTTGGCTGGTTGTAGTTCCAACCCCTATTCATGAATGAGCTGTGGAAAATGATTCTTATACCCAATAGTTGCAGTTATTATTTTTTTAATTAATCAATTATGCAACAAATAAGAAAGTAAAGCCCTCTATTTAGTTGTGTTTGATATAAATAGCTAATTACAAATTATTCAGTTATACAATTCATTATAAATGTTAGGTGTAAGTATCACTGTTCATTAGCTACACGAACATCTTTTAAATTGTATACTATGACAACATATTACATGTTTTTTTTCTTATTTTTGTTTTATTTTTTTGGTGAGATGTGAGTGGAAATTTAATGAGATTTGCAATCGACTTGAGACTTTTTTTTTTTTTTTACGCAATTATCTTCAAAAAGCATTCTCAATTTTCATAATTATTTCAAAAAATATCTTCACCCTTCCTTTTAAGGAATAATTTTGCAACTTCCTTTATTGAAAAATACGAATTAAATTGTACATAGGTAGATTTTCAATAACTTAATTATGAGTTATGATCTAGAAAGAATCTCAAAACATAGTTACAACATAATACGAATACGATGATATAAAAAATTTTAAAAATAAAATATAAATACATCAAAAAATAATAATAAATATATTATTGTATGTATATAATATTTTTTTTTTTTTGGTCATTTTATTTATATAATCACGAATGAAATTATTCATTTGGAGTTTAGAGTTAATGTTTGTAATTTTTGTTTTTTTAATTTTATATTATTTTTTTTATTAACCCATAACATACTTTAAATTGCAATTAAATCTCATTCTTTTAGAAAAGATTAAAAAAAAATAATTATAAAAGTACCTTGCCGTGTCCCAAATATGTTTATGCCCTATTCCAATAAGAAAATAAAATATTCAAATTCCAAAATACAACTAATCATATTCAGATCGTTTACTATCATATCCAAGTTTTTAATACCGTCACAATACTCTATCAGTGCTTCAAAATAAAGTAATCGCATCATTTCCATGAGTAATTATTGTGAACGTTTTGAAAATGTTTGATGTGTGTGTACACATTCTGCCTCATTATTGCCGTCACAAGAAGCTGCTTCGGGGAAATGAGTTTCTCCAATTAGAGCTGGACGGCGTTTCAGGCCAGTGCAGGTACACCAAAGTCCAGCATGACAGTCCAGCTAACCATGAAACAAAGACACTATTTGAAGAAAAGCCCCAATATATACTTTACGTGTCGCATTATGATTGGTTTAGCGTCTCAACGGTACACCCTCCTCCAGTGTACCAAACTTAAATACACCCACAAAGCGGTGTGAGACTATGAGTGATGTTTGTTTGCAAGATTATTCAAACTGCTGGTCTCAACCTAGCTCACGGGCAATAGGTAGTGTTGTGGTTTATAAGTGTTTTAAGTTGTCAAGTAAAGAAAGGGAAAGCTGTTTGTTATTTAGGGTAAGTAGAAAGGGAAAGCTTGTTGTTGACCTAACCCATTTGTTACAAAGTTCAAATGCACTATTCCCACTTCCATCTCTCACACAGCTGGACTTTGAATTTTTTATGTGCTCTCTCTCGTGCATGCCCAACCCCTCGATATGAAGTCCATAATTTGCCACGTGGCGCTTCCTTCAACCCTCCACGTGGAGAAGATCTACGGTAAGGAACCCTAACCGACTCCCAATTCTAACTCAAACTCTAATTAACCCTTAACTCAACATGTTTAACGCAAGCTTGAATGCTTGATATGAGTTTATATTTTCCTAATTGCCCATGTGAGACGAGGGACTTGCGTGGCTCAGTAATGAATTATATGATACTTTAAAAGGTCGGACATTGTGATTGTCGAAAAATAATAATAATAATTCATCATCGATCTAATTAATAACAAGAGGAACGGCTCAACCATAAAACGATTTAAGGCCACTCCAAAGGCCCATAGGAGAAGGGGCCTCAATTTTTTATTTTATTTTTATGTATTAATTATATTTCCTTTAATATATTACTTACCAAATAAATACAACACCTATTATATTAAACAATTATCCTAGCAAATGACGGAACCTGCCCTCATCTCATCCTTCTATGAAAACATGGCCGTGACAAGCCTGCCACACCCTCAACCTCCACCACCACCACCACCACCACCATAACTTACCCAATTCCTCAACAATCCACACCACCACCATCACGCATAGTCAGGAACTTGGAAATTGTTGATAATCACGCCCTTTCTATGTTACTGTTAGTTATTAGTTAGGGTTACTTTTTGAATTTAAGGGCTTGTTTGGATGTTCCATTGCACTTCATTTTGTGTTTTCCTTTTATGAAGCCTACTTGGGCTCTCTTTGTATAGAATGGATCGCTCTTTGTAGCCCCGGTGGCTTTGGGCTTCTCTGTTGGGCTTGGGGTATGCCCCAATTACTTTTGTAAATTGTTTTTCCTTTTATATATTTCATTGTTACTTACTCAAAAATAAATAAATAAATAAATAACAACATTTTGTTTGTTTTTTTTGAACTCATACACATCTATTGCCTACAAAATTAAATCACTATTTTTTATTTTATTAAATAAAAAAAATATTAATATATTAAATATGAGAAGACCAAATTTATAAATTTTGTTTTAGGCCTCAACCAATATCAAGTCGGTCCAAATTGTATTGTACTAAAAATCTTGACACGTTTATGGTTGGGGGATAAGAATTTCAACAGTGAACAATATTTATATTTTATTTTCCAATCATCTATTGGAATTTTTAGATATTACTGTACATTTTATCCTGATATATATTCATATCTAACGCAACATAGAAATCACATATTTACACATATATATATTACAAACAATCATCATTTTTGTTACATTGGTTCTAATAAATAAACATTATACGATAACATATAATAGATCAAATACACATTTCATCTGCAATATCAATTCTTGAGCAAGTATAGATGGTGTGTGAAGTATATTATCATTATATATTCAAATATAATATATTCTATTTCCCTTGGAGAAAAAAAAAAAAAAAAAAAAAAAAACCTTAATACTTTCATATTATAAGTCACCAATAAATAAATAAAATAAACAACTTAACTTAAACAATCAAAGAAACAATGAAGAATAAAATTGATATATAAAAGAAATGCTACAATTTATAAGAATTCATACCTTTTAGCACATAACGTAATGCATGAGGTGAGTGAAAAACGGCTATATTGCTTCATCGATCCTCCAAAAAATCCAAACTAATTGAACACTATATATAAAAAAAGGAAAAAGAAAAACAATAAAGTTGACATTTTTTGAGAAAATAATGAAAAATCAATTTGAATATTCCTCCTAACCAAAAAAAGTAATGAATCTTGGTCCTCAATATAAATGTAAGTAAGGAACTTGACATGGAACGAATAGATCAAACACCAGAACAATAAATTATTATGACTACCATAATATTCATGATTGGATTTGAGAAATGGATAGGCACTTCAATAATATAGTGAAGAAAAAATTACTGAAAAAATAGTACATAATTACAATAAATAAATACGTTTTTGTTAATGGGTTATAGGTCTGGAAAAAAATAAATAAATAAATAATGGGTTATAGGCTATTTTATGAAATTATTAACATTTACCTTTTTCTTCAATCTCTCTCTCTCTTTGATACCAAAAAAAATAAAAAATAAAAGAGAGGGAGAGAGAGTAAATGGGATTGTTTGTTATTGAAATGGGAAAACATTTTCTCCACTTATTTTACTTAATGAATTGATGAATACAGAAACGAAAAAATAAAGAAAATAATAATAATAATAAGTTCAATTTTGTTGAGAGATCACATTCCTTTTACATCATAAAATATGGATGAAAAATGAGAGATATTGGAAGATAATGAAAGAGATTTTCCAACTACTTTAACGAAGATGAAATTTGAACAGACCACAAGTCCACTGCTAGTTCAAGTGTCTGTGCAGGATTTTGATCCTTCTACATCCATCGTATCACGCAATAATAGATTTCAATCACAACCGAAAAAAAAAAAAAAAGAAGGTAAATTGGTTTTTGAATAAAAATCTTTCACTAACTAATAAAAAGCAAACTCATTGCACGATACTCGCGTCATTGTGGAGTATGGAAAAAATTAAATGTGCGCATCCATACATCCCGTGACCTCCATGTCACAATGATAATCTCTCCGTTGTTTGAAATTAATGCCTCCTTTAATTGAAAATTAATAGATTTTAAAGTATATTATCCTTTAATTATTTCTAATTCATGTTACCCATTTTTTTTTTATTCAGGATTTTGGTACAAAATAAGATAACAAAAAATGTCAAAGTATTTCATTGGTTAAAAATATATCTATGGATAGATCTCTTAATATACCTATAAAATAATAAACTTACTTTAGAACTCAACGCACATTAAATGGATTTATAGTAAATTCTAATACAATAACATTTTAATGGTGCTTGATCCTGAGGGTTGGCATGGGTGACAGAACTTGTTTATGATTCGTAAGGAAGTATCATGTCTAACAAAACTCTTGAGTGCAAATAATTTATTTAGAGTGAGTATCATCAACTTAAAAATAAAATAAAAAAACATTTTAATGGTTCTTGTATCAGTTGAATGAACCAATTTTTAAAAAATATTAAATTATTTTTTTTCTAATTCGAAAGCCAAACATTAAACTGGTAGGCTTTACATAGTATTGGTAAAAGGTGCAATGTTTGAACCTTTCTGTATAATATCCAGAGTCCCGTATGGGGAAACGTACCAGCAAATAAAGAAACTATCACCGCCAAACAGAGGTCTGGACCCTTCACGTACCCCTGGCCCACAACCGCCCAGAACAAATCTTCCCCACAAAAGCATCCAACACGTCACCCATGGCATCACCCCCAACCCAACCGAGAAAAGAAACACCGACCCTCTAAGCCGACATGCCGAGATTCCTAAAACCCCCTCCATACTGTAAAAGACGTCGCCGACCAGTGAGATCCAACCGCCGAACAACCCAAAGGCTGCTGGTTTTGAAAACCTCGGCCAGAGAAACCCAACAAAATCTCGACACCGGAAGACTTCACCACGGGTCAACAAAATAGATCTCTAGACAGCCCCAGTTCGATCAACACCCAGCAGGAGATGAAGAAAACTACAGACCAGAAATACCACCATAATCGCAAACACAGAAACCACCAAACACCGAACACTCTGATAGAACAGAGAACTCTGAAACACAGAGACCCCCTACAACAAGAGGAACCAAAACCCCCTTTTCACTTCCGTCAAACCCTTGCCTCCACTGTTATGTTACGTTGAGCATTATGGCGATGACTTACTCAACCAAACTGCTCATCCACTTTTGTGTGTGTGTTCATTGGAATGATTCCGAGTGTACTGGAGCTCACAAAGCATTGAAGAAGATGTCTCCAGAGCATATTAGTCGGTCGTGATTTTGAAAAAAGCTAATGACAAGAAGCAATATGCATTACAGTAATTCAGAGACGAAAGTAAAAGTTGAGTGAAACAAACCCCACTCCTGGGTAATATAATATGCATTGCAGTAAATATAAAATGAAAGCAGAAGCTCCATACAGGCTTTGCCACTTATTTACATACATTCAATTCTGCTGATACAACCACAATGTTTCAAAAAAACGTACTGTAAATGGTAAAAGCCACAGGTCCTTACTGCTGCAAGTAATGAGGAAACACATTGCTTTTACTCTCTACCTGAGATGGATTAACCGGGCATACCCTTTGTATTCTCAGCACCATGATCATGAGCTTGCACCGAACACACGGATTCTTTGTTCAATTGGAACCCGACAGCATGGACATGTAGCTTTTCCCTTCTTCCCGTAGTTATCATTGCAATCAGCACAAAGAACTTGATGGGCGCATGGGAGGAAAACAACAGAAACTTCATCTTTCATACATATTAAGCATTCCCTATCACGGCAGTTGTCTTTCACTGAAGAATCCTCCAGTTTATCTAATTCATGGAGCAATCCTGCAATTGTTTCTCCCTGTGGTTTTTCCCCCTCTGGGTTTCCTGTTGGTGAATTATCAGATTGATGATGCAAGTCAGTGGATTGTGCAGACACTTTAAGCCGTGATAATTCTTGCTCCAGTCTCTGAAGGTCATCCTTATGGCGCTGGAAGTCTATCTCAATCTTCAGGCGCAAGGCCTCATGCTTTCTTTTATTACTAGCCTCAGTTGCCTCTTTGAGACGCCGTTCCTCCTCCACTTGTGTTAGAGCTAGATCTTTAGCCTTCTGCTCCTGCCTCCACTTCCCCTGTCATTGGCCAATGAATTTGAAACGTGCATGATACACCAAGGAAGAAGTAAAAATAACAAAACTCAAGAAGCTTACTAGAAACGAGTATGATACATCATAGAAAAAGTAAAAATATAATAAATTAAATAATAATTCAGAAGAGCTTCAAGTTAGTTGTGTGCGCGCGCAAGAGAGAGAGAGAGAGAGAGAGAGAGAGCATCCAATTGAGATGGCCCAAGTCCAAGGAATAAGCGCGCTGCTCAAAGTTTAGGGCCCTTAGAAAGAGCATAAAAGCTAAAAAAATAATAATAATAAAAAGGATATGAAATGTGCCAACACGGACACATGCTTAACTTCACAGAAAGCCATTCAGAAATTACAGTGAAACTAAAACCAAAAAGCTGGTCCCAAGGCACTGGATTCATAACAAAGATATGAAACTAATGATCCTCGATGGAAAAGTTTCAATTGATCATAAAACATTAACAAGAAACATCACGACTAATGAGATTTTGTGGTCACCATGAAGAATAATGGCAAAATCAAAGTGAGAAGTTTACAAACTAAAAGCATGTTCAGAACCCTACAAGGGAATGAGGAAGGCTGGGAGAAAGAAGGTTTAGGCATTATGTATACTTTTGAATGTGCAGGCTTTGCATAAGACACTACTCTAAATGTAATTCTTGGAATGGACCAGGATCTGTAAATATCATACAAAAAAGTGTTTGCAGTACACTAACAATAGATGCATATGCTTCAGAACCAAATCGAAGCAAGTTAAATTTGTAATGCCACAAAAGTTATGGAGCACAACGAACAGTTTAGGTTACAAAAGCAAACAACATAATCAGACACTTAGAGAGAGAGATCAAGGAAACAGCTAAGCGTGCTTCTAAAGGAGGAGGAGGAGGTCCAGAGAGTTGTTGGGGAACAAATTCCAATATGATACAACCTAGAAAGAGTCCATCATACACAGATAAAAAGTGAAGGATACACACAGACAGAGAACAAGGGACAGAGACGGAGTTCACTCCAGTAAACAAAGAAGAAATTTGACATGGAGCAAGTGACACAAACTTGTGAGAGACCACCGCCATCTCAGCTTTTTCCTTTTACATAATTACAATTAATCACATAACTTATCAACCAAAACAACATTTGGATTATTTAGATAAGCTTACTTTATTCAGCTTAACCTAATAACTGCTTTATAAATATGAGACTTCTTTACATGTCCAATCCAGAATATTTGATTGGTTCACAGGTTCCCATAGGACGCATGATAATGCAACATAGGTTAATTAAATTATAATGCAAAATACGTTAGTTAACATGTTATATTAGTGTTGACACCTAAAAGTGACAGCCAAGTGGCAGCCACCTCAGTGTCTAAGTCGACAGGTAGAAAGAAAGACAAGTAGACCGACATACAGACCAATAATAGAAGGGTAAGAGGACGTTATTGGGTTAATTATATTCCAACACTTGGACAACTTATGTATTAACACTTGGGTAGTCTATGAGCTTACATTTGGAGGAATTAAATAGTGACAGCTGGACCTTGATGTTGCTGGGTGAATTAAATGACAGGGGGCAATTGGGGTAGTTGTTGACTCGGTTGACCAATTGGGGTACCTACGGAGAGGAGGAAATGGGCTACTAGACTCATTTTAACAGGGAAAGAGGATTAGTTGGTAGATCAACCAAGTACTAAAGATATGGAGTGGTGGAATTGGGTTGGACATGTGGCATCTGAAAAATCAAAGCTGGAGGCAAGGCCTGTTTACATGGATGTGAACTTACAGGTTACGATCATGGAATAAAGTATGGCCCGTATGGGGACACATGGCATTTGAAGAATGAATCTGCTTGGCAAACAAGAAGATCATGGGTTAATGGGATAATATCAAGCAGAAAGTGGATCACTATTATATGGCTTGGGATGTCTATAAATAGAGCACTTGGGACAACATGAAAGCCCCTCCACACAACAACAACAACATTTCAATTATCAACTTCCGTAAGTTGTCATTTATATTTCATGTCTTTCAATTACCTTGTATTTCAATTCCATAATTTTCAATACAAGTCTTTTTTATTCAAGCCCTTCAATTCATCTACTTTCCTTGCACTTAAATTCCGAATCACATTACATTTACTAGTCTCAATTCTTTAGATTGCAATCTTCAAAGTCCTTTTCATTAAGGCAGTAGAAACCTTACTAGAAGTTTCCTATTCCCACTTCTATTCAATCAACTGATCGAATCAAAAGGGATAGCTTACTCAATCTCTTTGAGTCCATAATAGACTCTAGCTTGCCCGCACTCAATCATCCATAAACAGGTCGGCCGATGTGAGACAGTTCCTTTCTGGATCCAAACTTCAGATTGCACTGAAGTTCACTTGAAATTCGGCTGCGTGCGCTGCCCTGGAAGAATCCTTTTCGCCAAGGATTTTTCGGAGCGTATAACTGTAACTCCTTTCGGCTGACTATCGCTTGACGTTGGCCAATTGCGACGACGTTGAAAGGTCAATCTATCGTGAACATTTCTTCTGGAAAAATGGGAATTTCTTCCATGGAAGTCTTCGTTTCTGCATTTGTCACGGCTTCTACAGTTGGGATAGTAGCTGTGATTAATGAGAGCTATCCAAGCCTTTCAATTAATGGCCCACTTGTCATTTAATTCACCCCAGTAACATCAAGGTCTAGTTGTCACCATTCAATTCCTCCAAGTGTAAGCTCATAGACTGCCCAAGTTTTAGCAAATAAGATGTCCAAGTGTTGGAATATAATTAACCCAATATAGCGTCCATGTACCATTCTATTATTGGTCCGTATCTCAGTCCACTTGTCTTTCTTTCCACCTGTTCATGTAGATGCTGAGGTGGCTGTCACTTCTAGGCATCAACAAATAGACAATTTGATCATGTCAAAATCCTAGCTAAGCATCACCTTGGCACCTAGTTATGGTGATAGATAGCTTAAGCATGATTAGCCATAGTCCATTGTCCAATCCTTTGGAGAACTAAACTTAAAGAATTAGGGACATAAAAAAGCATAAAACAATATCCGTATCAATTAAGGAATCGTTACATGCACTACTGCAAATCTTGCTGAGTGGGTTGAAATAAGATTTGTATCTGCTGTCATACATGATCAAGAACCACAACAGCTCAACCAAAGCTAATCTTTATCAAGGTAAGATTTTTCCAATGTGAGCCAAATCTTGAATAGCAATTTAAAACATGAAGAACACAAGGATATAACATGGTTCGGCCACAACGGCCTACATCCATGGCACACAAAGCCCAAGGGGCTACATCACTCGTATTATATTCTCCCTTAATATTGTTTACAATGAGCATCTCTATTTATAGGTGAGAGAATACAAGTGATAAATATGGAAAATACATTGATGGAGGATTCATACAATCAATAAATCACTCCAATCTACATCACTCTTATTATATTCTCCCTTAATATTGTTTACAATGAGCACCTCTATTTATAGGTGAGAGAATACAAGTGATAAATATAGAAAATACATTGATGGAGGATTCATAAAATCAATCCCATAAATCACTTCAATCAATATTCTATGACAGGCTAAAATCACTCATATAATATTCTCCAACACCACCCTAAGTTGGTACACGGAGATTTTAATTCAAATGTCCAGCTTGAAACTAAATACGGAGTTGTCGAGAGTCTGAGATGAGTAGATCTGAGACGAGTTGATCTGGAAATCCGACACGAGTTGAGTCAAAAATCCAAGCCGAGTTGATCCGAAGATCCAAGACAAATTAATCCGAAGACCGGAGACGAGTAGTGTAGGGAAAATACATTAATGGAGGATTCATAAAATCAATCCCATAAATCACTCCAATCAATATTCTATCACAAGCTAAAATCACAGATATATTATTCTCCAACACCACCCCAAGTTGGTACACGAAAATTCTAACTCAAGTGTCCAACTTGAAACTAAATACGGAGTTGTCAAGAGTCTGAGATGAGTAGACCCAGGACGAGTTAATCTAAAGATCCGAGACGAGTTAATCTAAAGATCCGAGACGAGTTGATCCGAAGATCGGAGACGAATAGTGTAGGGTATGATAAACCTACTTTGCTACCATGATAAAAGATATAAAAGTTGAAAAGATAAATTAAACATGAAGATCATAAGCATATAACGTGGTTCGGCCACAACAGCCTACATCCACGGCGCACAAAGCCCAAACGGCTACGTCACTCTTATTATATTCTCTCTTAATATTGTTTACAATAAGCGCCTCTATTTATAGGTGAAAGAATATAAGTGATAAATATGGAAAATAAATTGATGGAGGATTCATAAATCACTCTAATCAATATTCCATCATAGGCTAAAATCACTCGTATAATATTCTCCAACACCACCCATCAAGTCTCCAACTTGAAACTACATACGGAGTTGTCAAGAGTCTGAGATGAGTAGATCCGAGACGAGTTGATTTGGAAATCCGAGACGAGTTGATCTGGAATATCTGAGACGAGTTGATCTGGAAATCCGAGACGAGTTGATCCAAAGATCGGAGATGAGTAGTGTAGGGCATGATAAACATGCTTTAATACCATGATGAAAGAGATAAAAGTTGAAGAGAGAAATTAAACATGAACACAAGAATATAACGTGGTTCGGCCACTACGGCCTACATCCACGGCACACAAAGCCCAAAGTGCTACATCACTCTTATTATATTCTCTCTTAATATTATTCACAATAAGCAACTCTATTTATAGATGAAAGAATACAAGTGATAAATATAGAAAATACATTGATAGAGGATTCATAAAATCAATCCCATAAATCACTCGAATCAATGTTCTATCACAGGCTAAAATAACTCATAATATTCTCCAACACCACCCCTCAAGTTAGTACGCGGAGATTTTAACTCAAGTGTCCAACTCAAAACTAAATACGGAGTTGTCGAGAGTCTGAGGTGAGTAGGTAGATCTGAGACGAGTTAAACTGAAGATCCGAGACGAGTTAATTCAAAGATCCGAGACGAGTTGATTCGAAGATCAGAGACGAGTAAAGTAGGGTATGATAAACCTACTTTGATACCATAATGAAAGATATAAAAGTTGAAGAGAGAAATTAAACATGAAGAACACAAGGATATAACGTTTACAATGAGAATCTCTATTTATAGGTGAAATAATACAAGTGACACAATCCTTCTCATTGGGCGTCACTCTCACGCTCTGCGCACGCTTTTGCTCTCGTTTCCACTATTTGTGACTTAATTTTGCCGCTTTCACGCTCTCGCTCTCGAATTGGTTTTTGCTCCCACTCTCACTTTATGTGACTTAGGTCGAACCACATTATATCCTAAGTCATGTTTAAAGGGCTACATTACTCTTATTATATTCTCTCTTAATATTGTTTACAATGAGCATCTCTATTTATAGGTGAAAGAATACAAGTCATAAAGGAAAACACATTGATGGAGGATTCATAAAATCAATCCCATAAATCACTCCGATTAATATTCTATCACAGCCTAGAATCGCTCATCTAATATTCTCCAACAGTTCCAAAAAAAAGCCGCCCTCTATTTAAGAAAAAGTTATTTTCCCTCCTCAGTTGAATTACATATCCAGTTCGCCAATGATCCCATAGTGATTTTGCAATGAGGTAGAGGAGCATCTGAGGTACTTGAGATGTGTGCCGGTATACTCCTAAGTAGTATCTATTCTGAAAATTATCATCAGAAAGAGTGAGTGTCCTAGTTGGGGAGGTAGATAACATAGCCAACCTAGTTAATATCTTGGGATGTGGTATCAGGACCTTCACGGTGTCTTACTTGGCCTTACCTTTGGCAGCTTCATTGTTGGTGTCTTCTATTTAGGCGCCACTGATATAAAGGTACGAGAAAGGCTAGCCATATGGAAGAAACAATATCTGTCAAAGGGTGGACGCCTTACTATAATTAAGAACACCCTCTCGAATCTTCCAACTTACTACCTCTCTTTATTCCAGACTCCTTCCTCTGTAGTAAGAAGAATTGAGGGGCTGCAAAGTAACTTATTGTGGTGAGGGTAAGAAAATGAATTGAAATACCACTTTGTGAAATGGGAAAAGAGTTGTAGACAGCTTCAGATGGGTGGATTGGGTGTAAGGGAATTCTTAGCATTCAACCAAAACTTGATGGGGAAATAGTTTTGGAGATATGAGACGAACAGGAACATATTATAGAAAAGAATCATTAAGAGGAAGACTGGCAAGGATAAAGGCTTATGGTGTTCCAGAGAGGTGACTCTACCAGCAAGGGCGAAAATGAGGTACATTAGAAAGGGATGGTGTTCCAAAAATGTGACTCTGCCAGCGTGGGATGACTTCATAACGAAAGGGTGACATGAGATGTTCGAGCTATTGTACAAGCAAGAGATGCTTGGAGAAGGTGAGGATTAGTGGAGTTGAGTGAGTTCCAGGCATGGAAGTTTTATGGTTAAGTCTTATTATCAAATTCTTTGAGGTGCTCAAGAGAATATCTTTCTGTGGAAAGTGGTTTGGAGAATAATAGCCCCTCTCAAGGTGGCCTCTTTGGATGGACAGCAAGGATGTTGACGCTTAATAATTTGAAGAAGAGATGGAAAATTGTAATCAATCGGTAATACATGTGTAAGAGAGATGAGGAGTCGGTGAACCATCTTCCCTTGCATTATATTCTTTGCCATTTTTTATGGGATCTACAACCAGGATGCTCGAGGCTTAGGGGGGTGACAATGGAAAACCAGGCTCGAGATGCATGGAGGGCTGGACCTCTTTGTATTTGGGGGGGCTTTGGCATGAGAGCAATAGGTCTTTTGATGCTGTAGAAGCTCCAATATCAGCGATAAAGCACCATATTCTGAGCCCTCTCTTTTTTGGGGTTACAAGAAAGATTTGTAAATCTGTGGAGGATTTTCTTGATTTTTTTGATAGATTAGTTGTTGTTCAGGTTCACTCCCCGCACTTTCTCAATAAAATTTTACTTATAAAAAAAAATGTAATAGTGATTCATAAGGACTACTAGGTGAAAACCCAACTCGTGAAAGGTGAATTGCAAAGCACCATAAGAAGTTAAAACTAATACATGGGTGTATTATGTGATGGTAATAAAGAAAGAGAGGTAGGTCCACATTTATGGAAGTCAATGGCGAAAACCATTATATGGCATAAACGAACAACAAACTGAACGATGCATCATGATCATGCACCTCAAAAAGTATGAGCATGCACCCTACACACACCCACTAGCATCTCGCATACTCATCCATGTAGACCATTCTATTCATAGCTCACCTCTTGGACCGAAAAAACATAAAATAAAAAAATGTCTACATACTAAAACAATCAACAATCATGAACGTACAAAATTACCACACAGAGAAAGTAATAGCAAAGTAACACAAGATTTTAGTTAAAAAATAAAAAGAGAAGAAAGCAGGAAAACAGGAAACGGTGCTATCTCTACCAAAGTCTCTTATTTACGAACAAGTTAATTTACGAAAATTGAGTTCAGAAACTATCAATGACAATAGGACATTAGAACCTCGCGTGAACTTCTAAACTGGTGTCTCTGCATTAAGCCAAAAAAGCATAAAAGTACCACCAATATTTTCTCTTTACAGTATAATAGGAATCATATGTATGAATGTAAGTCTGTAGCTAAACTGATGGAAAAATAAATAGATGTACCTCAGCCTCCTTCTGAGACTCCTCAATCTGAACCAACTGTTGTTGCAGCTTTAAAATCTTCTGTTTCTCTGCTGCAATTTCCTCCTGCATCTTAGTTTTCTGCTTTTCCCAAGCCAAGAGCCTCTTCAGGCACTTTTTCTCCCTCTTTGCAACCTCCAAACAGGTTTTAACTGACTCTGATGCACTTAACTTAGAAGCCTCCATCTCTGCTCTGATTTCTGCATTCTCAGTTTCAAGCCGCCTCACAGCTGCATTTGCCCGGTCCACTTGACCACTTGCTTTCCTCAGAGCAGTCTCCATCTCTGAGAGCCTCTTCATGGTTGTGTCCTCAAGCGTCTGCTTCCCCTTCTTCAGTCGTTGGGTCTCCTCCCTTTCCATCCTCAACATCTTGAGCTCAGTGAGATCATGGCTGAGCTTTCTTGCAGCTTGCATTGCCTTCTGATGAGCCCACTCCTTTCGCTCCTTTACTTGTCTCTCAAGATCTTTAATCTGATGAATCAAACTTAAAACCATCTCATCTTTCTGATCTTCTGGTACACATTCTATATTCTCATCAAGATTCAACTCACGAAATTTACTCAACATTGAACTAACCACATCTTGGTTCTTTGAATTTTGAAGCTCCTCGGTCTGCTCAGCTGGAACTTCCTCTCCTGATACAACTCCTACTGGCAAATCTCCACCTGATAAAGAGCCAGGGGAAGCCTGAGAGTGTGTCTGCGACTGTTTCAAGTTTGCTCTATAGCCTGCGACAAACATTGTAACATTCCTCTTCAATGTTGACTTCATTGAAGGTGTAAGATTAAACCCCTTCGGACACTCAATTTCTCTTTGCATAATAATTTCTGATGCATACGATGGAAACCCATTTACAGCGAATTCAGAAGTACCTCCATTTCCAAAACCCCAGCCACCATGAGCCTTGCAAAGCATGGGAGCAACCCCAACCTGATTATTAGTAACACTTGCAACATTGCTATGAGCATGACTGCTACACTCATTACTACTAGGAGAAGGAAGAACAGGAATTTCCATCACGCTCGCTCGACCCACATGAAGCTCACTCATGAGGAGACACCACATGGCATCCCCTTTACTCAGATGCGGCTTAACTTGTTGCAACAAACAAACCATAGCCGCAAGGGAATACTCCTCTAATTGCCTCAAATCAACAAATACTGGCTCAGATTCCTCCGAGTTCCCATTATTACTCCCAGACCCGCTGTTCAAATAAGCCAAAGAATTATGCAATATATTCGTCAACACATCCATCCCACCATAACAATGCCCATTCCTCAGTATAGCTTTTAAAGCAACGTCCTTATCATAGCCCAAACCAGCAAGCTTTGAAATAGCTTCATTATATAAAATCTCCAAGTTTTTCAACAGAATTTCTTCCAATTGTTCTTCAGTACAGTAGCCCCAACCATTTTCATCAAAATTGGGATTACAATTAGGGTTAGGGTTTATGTCTTGGGTTGATTCAGTGACACCCACTTGATTTTCCAATGGTCTGAGACCCGATTCAATTACAGATTTAGAGATTGATCTTCTGTCTACAAGATTGTTGTTATCGATATCGGGTTTAACCGATCGAGGCCTACGATTGGCTCGAATATGTTTTTCTCTAACAGTGCAACCCATTCGAAGTTTAGAGAGAGAAAACTATGATTCTTAAGAACAACCTTAGAAAGAAAAAAACAACAGTAAATTAAATATGTCGTTTATATCTATATATGTGTATATATATATGTGTATATAAACCTAATTAGATTGAGAAAGAAACTCACAGATGACGAGAAGATCCGCGTTTAAATTTTGGTCTGAGTTGCAGAAGGACCACCAAAATGGTAAAGAGAGAGAGAACAGAGAGAGGTTGAGAGGAGAGAGAGAGAGGAGCGAGATGCAACACATTGTATTTATTTACCAGGAATGGGGCCAATGGGCCCAAGTCTGGGGCTATGGGACTTGCTAGGGTTGGGCTCTATAATATAAGACTTGGGCTGCGTAAAAGATATTTATAACTTAGGCAAAAAATAGGAATTGGTTAACCATAAATATGAATCAAATTAGGTAGTAGGTACCTTTAATATATAGATCAAATATTAGTTAAAAATTCTAATATATTATTAAATAGATGTAAAGATAACTTTCAACAAATATTTTAGAGAAAAAATTGTGAGTAATGAACCCTATTATATGGATATTAAATAAGATCAATAATAAAAGTATAGAGGATGCACTTTAAAAAATTGGTACTGTAATAATAAAGCGGATAGATATGACATTATATAAATAAATGCTTGGAGAATTTTAGAAAAATTATAAATTGAATGGCTAACAAATTTATTTAATATAATTTCTTTAAAAGGAAAAAAATAAAAAAAGAACAATGCTAGGACTTGACGTGCAATTAATGCATTGTCTTCTTTAAAAGGAAGGAGAGAAAAAAAATAGCAAAATTTATAATTATGGACACCAAATACTAGTATAACTTAATAACTTGAATTCAATCTTGTCTGTATAAATCTTCGTTTGGAAAACTCTTTTTATTAAATCTTTAAATAATTAATTAAAACTAGAAGTTGCAAATTTTTACCAGGAATGAGTGATCTCTTTCTGGTAAATAAGAATCTTAATTTACATAATTCACTTAAAAGTTTTTATAATTATATTTTGATTTAATATTTTCTGATTAAATTTTAAAGACATACTCAACAAAGATGTAGAATTGTTGAAAAACATAAGAGTGCAGAAAATAGTATATATATTTAAAAAGATTAGTAGAGGAAAGCAAATTAACCATAGAGAGAGAAAACCTAGTTTAATTCGACATGCGTAGCACTGCTAAGATGATAATTTTTATTATTTTTTATTGTACTAATAATGAATGAATTACCAAATATCCACCTTTCCATTTTTGACCTCCCAAAATAAATTTCTCATTTAAAAAGCCAAAAAACATTTTTTGTAACATTATCAATTTTTTGTAACATTATCATTTTTTGTAACATTCTCATTTGAGATATATATAACACTTTGATATTATTGATAATATATCTTTGAGTTATTCTATTATCCTTTTCAATGTTCTCATTTTAGCTAGCTATGTCTATGTTGTTCTTGTTTCTCTTTTTTCACACTACGTACCATGTCATATATTTGGTTCTTCACTAGTATGTCTCCATAAATATTTATGCATTCGACTTTTCATATATTCCATTTACATGAGAAGTATTATAGATGGTTTGTCTCCACTATTAAAGTAGTTAACTCTAAATCAGTGTCCATCAATGAACTCTAAATCAGTGTCCATCAATGAAGATATTGTATAGCACGGTTAGCACCCCGTTGGGTTAATCTAGTGGGTGAAAACTTGGGCATGGTGCCTCATGAAGTATCAAGTACGAGCCTCTGAGTAAACAATTTCCATGGAGGGAGATGTGTTAGTATCAACTAGGGGGAAATTTTTTTTATTTGTATAGCATTTCCTTTAACCACTATCCAATACTCAAGCTATAGCATTTCTTTGCCGTATAGCCATATCATTGTTATCAAGCTATTACTACTGTATAAAACTATTGACTTGAGGGTCATCAGAAGACCACCTGAATTTGCTCCTTTACCTCAATGTATATTTTCATCCACTGTGTTCAGCTATTACTCCCAAACAGTAGAAACTAAACAAATCAAACAAACTAGACAAACCAAGGATCAAAGCTCGCTTTTTTAAAAGGATAACAGGTGGAAGGAAAAAAATGACTGGTCACAATCTGATGTTTTGTGTACATAGATTGTTGGCTCAAAGTAACTTACATATATAATCCATGGGATTTAAGAACCAGTTCCCTAGTAATTTATAGCAGAGAAAAATACAAAGAAAATCCTTAAAGGATAGAGAATCTTTAAAATACAAGATTGGAACAATAGGGTGCACGAAACTGCAGTTCATACCACTCCAATCAAACACAAATCTATTCCAGAAGAATGAGTAATCAAATATTCGCCCAGTGAACAGTTCAAATGAAAACCTGATCCCCAATTCGCATAGATGCTTTCTCAAATTCCATCACACCCACTGCAATCTGCCATGGTGTTCCACATGCTGTTGGATTTTACCATCAAGTAGCGTCTGGTTCCTCACTTTAGCTGGTCTAGTGCTGTACTTCACTTGAAAGCTTGGTAATGGTCGATGATGATCATTCGTACTAGATAATGTATCCGGTAAGACCTCTTCGAGGAACTCATCTGCAACATCTCCATCTTCATCTATCCTGAGACGCCTTGCGTACCATCTCAAACCCTGAATCCATAATAAACATAAACGATTTACGATGTGTACAGCAGGAAAACAAATTAACATACTAGACAAGGATTTGAATCTCAGTATAGAGAGATATATATAAGTGCAGATCAAAGACTGAATCAATCCGCCTGTCCCAGCATGCTGAATCATCAGACCGATACTAGGTAATGGTGTCTTTTCTATAAATTGAAGATCATACTCACTTATTTAAGTAGATAACAGAAGTGCAATCTAGGGTGAGATAGTGAAGTTGCAAGTAAATCTTATCCTTAGTTTGCACTTTCAAATGATCGTAAGAAACCAATTAAGTGAAGCTGATTGCACAAGCAACCAAACATCTGTATATTCTATGTCCAAACACATTTGACATTGCATTTCTGCTATTTAACGAATCAGTAGAGCAACCGGGTTGTGTTCCTATAAGTTGTAGGCAACCAATTTAAATGAACCTGGTTGCACCAGAGATAAAACATCTGTGTCTCCAATCCAATGCATTTCTACTACATCAGTAAAGTATTCTTCATTGTATATCTCCTAATCTTTTTTAAACCACAATTTATTATTGATTAGGAACAGGACAAAGAAGGAATAAAGGATGGCAAATCTTTCCAGAAGAACAAAGCTATCAAGATGCAGAAATTGCCTCTGAAAGATTAAGTGAAACCACTGCTCTCAGAGCTAAGTAATCCACCAACTCATAAGGAGCCTTAGACACGTAAAGATCTCCCTCAAGATTTGAGTATAGCACCATAAATGAAGGATTGAAATTGCACCCACCCACCACAACCCCACAACAGCAATTAAAAAACTGTGAGTGAGTTCCCAAAGGCCCTCAAGGAAGGGAATTGCCTCTTCTCTCTCTCCCCCCCCCCCCCCCTTTTTTTCCTTATGGGCACTTGAACCCTCAACCTTCCACTTCAAAAGTAGAGGAGAACCACTAGAGCTATGCTCTAGGTAGCCAATGCAATGAATTTTCATTCAGACAATCCCCATCGAATTGGTAACAACATGACCATCAATCAGGAGAACTGGTCGTTCAATGGATCTCTCAAGCCTAGTAAGAACTCAAAGGTGTAGATTGGGCCGTGGCCCTGTGTCGAAGTCCAAATTGCTAGTCTGGCCCAATGAGAAGGAAGATTTCTCATGACTACTTTTCATATTTGTCTGCATATAAATACGCTTAATAGCCCACAGCAAGCAGTCAGGAAGGAACACACTATGTTGTGCTTTATCCACTAGCAACACAGCGGCAATCAAAAGCTTTAAAAAAATCACTTTTATATTGTGCAGGTCCCAAGTTCCAATAACGAAGCAATGACCTTAAGCTTAAAAGAAGTATTAGAAAGCTAAGGACAGACCGTTCTAAAAAAATGACATTGAAGAGAGAAACTTGAGAGAATGTAAAATTGTAAATGACAACACATTTGACAAAAGAACATAAATGATAATCCTCAACACTTGAAAGCAATGTTCCTAATCAAAGACAAAACCCTGACTTCGATACACGCATGCACAGGCGCATACAGACAAGAAAAATAAAAAATAAATAAAAATAAAAAATAAATAAATAAAACCTTTAAAAGGGAGAGAAACATATATTTCCACCTCATTGCAGACCATAAATGTTTACCAAAGACCTGAATTCTTCCATCAAAGTTATATCACAAACATTCAGTCCGACTAAACTGCTCCTAAACTATGACCAATTACAAAAGCTAAAAATTTTATCACCATTGGACACATGGCAGCTGAAGTCTATTTTGTCCAAACATATGTGTAAATTGTCCAAGTTGATGGTATTTTAGAAAAATGTTCTATTTTTGGGAGCCACCGCCCACAAAAGCAAGTTTGATTTCACAACACCGTGTCAAACATTGCATTCCATCTAAAAAACTAAAAGAAAGCTTGATCAAAATTTTCAATAAGAAAAAAGATGAGCAATTATCATAGCACCTATTTATGAGAAAAATTAGATATAAGCCTGGGTAAGCAAGCCGAGCAACATATAACGGTTTCTCATATCAACGAAGATCATATTAGATAACACAATGTCAAAAAGATGTATCAAATTATAAAAATGGATAACCTTATGAACACCAGAGCATCAAACAAAACAGAGAGCAACACAGCTAGAAAAATAAATAACAAGAAATGTGGTATAAGGGTGCTGTGTTGTGTGCACATGTGCAAAGTACACGAAACAGAACTTTGTTCCATGGAAAAAAGAAATTGATGGACCAGACTGAAAGTAAGGCATCTCAAGCTCATGGAACAGCATGATAATTCCCAATATATATTATGGTGATTGGTTGACAATAAAAACCTCATCAAGGAAATGCTATTGATTCAGAATCCACAAGCAACACAAAATTTCATATCCTCCGCAATATAGTGAAAAAGATTTAATATGCAAATTTTATTTTTTTAAAATAATAATTCCAGGAAAAAAACACAAGATAAAGACGAAGAACAAAAAAAGGATCCTTAATCATGAACATAGACTTAGCTGAAATTCTAATGACAGCATAATCCTAGTTTCTTCCAGCACACCAAAGGTAGCAAGCCCCTATTTAGGGTGTTATACATACCAAAAAGATTTTGTCAACGGTCGATATTTACCAAGAGTTCTTAAACCAAATAATGGAAATAGAGAACAACTTAACTCAATAGTTCAGAACAGGGAATCTGCATTGCATCTTGAGGAGGTTTACAGAGGAGGTGTGAGAAAGAGAAAGCGTTTGGTAGGGGTGGGTGTTCTTTGACCATTCAGAAGTAGAGATATAAATTATAGTCCAAAGGCTCCAAAGATTGTCCACCTGATGAAATTGCAGCCATTTTACACAAGGATATAAAGAGCACCCAGATTACAAGGCCCGGATCCAATCATACTGTAGTCTGGCAAGAAATCCCTACATCACTTGGACATCAGCAAGCTAGGCTAGCACAACTCTATAAACTAATAAACCTGATAGCGTGGAGCATGCTATGTAAATTGTCTGAAGTCAAAGTGGGATTTCCCTCCTGCAATCTGCTACACATTCTCTCGCCGCCAGAAGGTAAGAGAGATGACTACCTTAAGCTTCTAGACACCAAGCCAAGAATTATCACGAGCTCATGGATAAATAAAGGGATGACAAATTTAGGAAGGTCCTTATAAAGCTAGGGGTGAGTTTGAGAGGTAGAAGACCCAACTTGCATTCAATGTGATATTCAATGTAATGAGGTCACACTCTACACCTTCCACCTATACATTGATTAACTCAATAGCCCTTGTTCACATATTAAAAACTTGAATTCCACTTTACAGAATTGTTTTTTTTTCTTTTTTTCAATTTTTTTTTTTTTAGTAATTCTCCTCTTTAGTAAACTCACCGAATTAAATTTAGAGTGGTAGCATCCTCATTAAAAAGGTTTCCTTTAGATTCACTTTTTATATTTTTTTAATTTCATGTTTTATCAAGAAAAATGATTTCTTTAATTGCCCAAGGGGTAAAACAGTTGGCAAGGAGTAACTAAAAATACCGCGATTATCCTGATCCCACTCTTGATGGCAGCCCCACAAGGTTTCCAAACTAACCCAGCGAGTGAGTATGAGCACTGCGTGTGCCCCCAGAAGAGCTTAGTCTCACCTAAGAGTATACCCTTTTGTAAAATAAAAAAAAAAATCCTCATTGTTTTTTGAAGACTGAAACATATCAACTTCTCCTCAAATTTTATTTATGAAGCAAGTTATTATTTGATTTCTACATGCAATCTATCAAGATATTTTTGTTCTACTCTGTTGTCTAGTGGTTCTCAATTTCCATTTTCTTGACAGCGTCCAGAGCCGGCCTAGACTGCCCATTGCCGTATTAGATTTAGCCTCATTTAGGAAGGATTTTCCCTGATCTTTATGGGATAAGGATGCCCTTCCTAAAACCCAATCCCTCGCAATCCCTACCTGTCACATTCATTCTCTAAAATTGAGCGAGTCAAATCTTCTTAACTATAATAGACCCTTGTAAAGATATTTATCAAAATATGACCAATTAAAAGTTGAAAATTAATTTTTCACAATTTAAATGATCCAACTTTGCTTCCTATTGAAAATAAAAGGTTATTTAACATTGCAACTTCACTTAACAGTTGATACATTAAATGTTTCATAAATTCCACCATGAAATATTTCAAATGAGAATCAGGCTACCATCACAATGAAACAACTCAAAATGTAAAACTAGCAACTAGGAAACTAAAATAACCACCATTTCATCAGCATTCAGTTCAAGAAGAAGTATTCTACTAATGTTACACTTCCTTTTCATGCATCATCGACTACATAATGAGGACAATCGTACTTCTACCAACTTGTCATTGAACATGAACATGCAGGTAAACAATGTATAATGTTAATTTTTTAATGTCACCTAATTAGACAACTTACACACCTGACAAAAGTAGGGCTGCAAAACAAGCTCATCCAATTCAACTAAACTATCAGTTTGTTTGAACTCTGCAGTGTTATCAAAGCCCAAGGCACTAGAGGTCCTTTGGAGCCTAGGCGCAAGGCGAGGTGTGCACCTGACCGAGGCGCACAATTGAAAATTTAAATTACTATTAAAACATATTCAAATTCCATATTAAAGGCGCATATGTTGTCAAAGGTGCACCTCGGCACACAACAGGTGCAAGTGTTGCGTCCGTATGAGCCTGAAGCCTAGGGGCGCCTTTAACAACACTAACTCTGCTCGAACTAAACAATCTTTGAAACTCGAACTAAACAATCTGTTTTTGAGCTCGACTTGGTCGCTACATGCTGAACTTGCGAACCAACTCACCTCGTTCACCCAAAGTTGAAGAGAAGTTTAATCTGAACCATTCACTTGTCAAACCCTTATTGTTTCAATTGATTTTTTATTTTTTTATTTTTGGATAAGTATCACAATTTATATTTTTAATTTTCAATGTAAAAGTAAATGCATAATTTTTTTAGGCTGGTCAATGTGTAAGATAAAAAAGCTAACAGACTGTCTTTTGTTGGGCCAGTAACATAAAATCAGGGGCATAGGTAGTAGATAGTCGGGATTCAAACAGCTGCATTACCCTAATAAAGCGCTGAAAAATACTATAACTTCAAAGATAATGGACTAAGATTCAATTCAGAATTTGAATCTGCCACTGAGCCCTTGTTCACAAGATTGATCAGGCAAGCTTAGATGTGTTCAAGCTGCTTTTAGATATGGCCAAGCTTGGCTCATTTGGCAAGAGAACTAGCCTAACTGAGCTTTTTAAAAGCTGCACCTAAGCCTTTCATGAGCGACTCAATTCATTTGCAGCCCTAGACACAAGGATGAATAGAATATTTAGAACTTCTTAAGGCAACTCAAAGACAAATTAACGAGGCACGACCATCACAACCTTCGCAAGAGCTAAAGAATTGTATTATGAATAAAGCGAGGCTAGACAAGAGCCATGAGCTCTCTTTATTAACCACTGGATTGAGACAGTTTTGAGATCTTTGAAAAGTCGAATAAAACTTTTACTCCCTCTGTCCCAATTTAATTTTCCATCTTTCCTTTTTAGGTTGTCCCAAAATACTTGTCCTAGTTAAAAAGTCCAAGTAAGATAAATGCATCTTTCCATAAATACCCTAGAAGTTTTCAAAGTTTTCTAGCTTGATTGTATATATATATATATATTCAAACTTGAAAGGATAACTTGGCAATTTTAAAAAGGGGGCAATGCATTAATTGCATGCCCCTTAAAAGTTCTACTCCCCAAAAGGGACAACTAATATGGGACGACAAGGGAGTAATAAATATCTCAAAAGGCTCTCTCGATAGCCTTACTCTTACTCTAACCAAAACACATGTTATGAAAGGAATTTGCAATAATGGGGATAATTTATAACATCGGGGTAGGCTACATAATAGTACTCAACCTAAAGTCAACAGATCTTCCCAATGCTTGACGACATTAACAATTTACAAGCATCAATTAAATCTCTCTGCTACTATTTTACCATAGCAGGCACCACGTCATAAAGCAAAGAGAAAGGGAAACCAATAGCTCAATGAATCTTGAACCTTTGGGCACTAGTGGAAAATATTTTAATAAATCATTAGGAGATGGAAATTTCAATACTACTTGGCATTAAACAGAATAATTGATCATATCATTCTTTTATATTCTTTATAATTATTAACGCACTAATGTCATTTTAAACTGTTCCATATACTTCTCATTTTAATCTGTTCCATATACTTCCTCCGTCACATATTAGTTGGGGAGTTGAACTTTTAAACGGGACATGCAATAATGCATTGTCCCCTTTTAAAATTTCCAAGTTATTCTTCCAAGTTTAAAAATATACATAGTATATATAATCAAGTTGAAATTTTGTTGAAAACTTCAAGGGTATTTATAAAAAGATACATATATCTTACTAGGACTATTTAACTGAACAGATATTTTGGGACAACCCAAAAAGGAAAGATGGACAATTAAATTGGGAAGAAAGGAGTATAAAATATGTTACATTACAAAAATTATTGATACATTGATGGGATCTAACTATCTATAGCCCATAGATCCAAGGAATCATAGCCAATAATTTAAAACCATTTTAGCTAAATTGAAAAAATTATTTTAATTATATATTTCAAGATAAGAATAAATTCCAGAATACTCGGTAACACAAAAGTGATCCAAGCAATCCATTAATTTCCAGTATCTTGTGATTTCTGTTCAAAGTCACTCTATTTTACCACTTCGGAGGATTGCCAGATATTGTCAGAGCTAGAGAGGGTGTACGACTCAATAATAATATTATTTCATTTAATCTTCTATTACTTCTATTCATTACTATTTGCTCAAATCATGCTAACTACTTGTGGCCGGATGAGCATTATTAGATTTTATCAGTGTCTTCACTTTTTTGCCGACACCCATAGAATAATGAAAACCTTACACTTTTCCACATCCTTGTACTCTTTCTCGTAGCTTCATTGTCAATTTGACTTAATTGCTTCCCCATGTTTTCTGACATATGCTTCCCAGTTACCTTATTCATTTATTTGTGAGAACTATGAGTGATGATGATGATACATCAAACATTACTGTTTACATTGTGACCAGTGTTACAACTACTCACTAAGAAAGTAACTGCACATGCTGGAGTGTTTAACAGTTGGTTAGGTAAATGGTCACCTAAGGAATGTTACACTACGTGCTCACTTGATATCCCGTTGACAAGAAGCTGTATTACCTTTTGTTATTATTATTATTTTGATAAGGCAAGCTTGATTATGGATACAAGCTTGATTATGGATGCATTGACAATATCTATACCCTATAGATCCAAGGAACCATAACCATTAATGTATAACCATATTAGCTAAATTGAGATAATTATTTTAATTATATATTTCGATAAAAAATTAAAAAAAAAAATCGGGAGTACTAGGGAACACAAAAGTAATACCAAGCAATCCATTAATTTCCAGTATTTTGTGATTTCTGTTCAAAGTTACTATATTTTAAAACTTAAAAGGATTACCAGATATTGTCAAAGCTAGATAGGCTGTACGGCTCAATAATCATGGCTATAATATTCTTTCATTTAACCTCCTTCTAATTCTTCTATTCTTTACTTTACTATTTGCTCACATCATGCTAACTACTAGTGCCCTGATTAGCAGGGTTAGATTTTATAATGTCAACCCTTTTCTGCCAACACCCATAGGATAATGGAAACCTTACACTTTTCCACTTCCTTTTACTCTTTCTTAAAACTTATTGTTACTTTGACTTACTTGCTTCCCCACATTTTCTAAAAAATTGCTTCCCACTTACATTATTTATTTGTTAAAACTATGAATGATAATGTTACATCGAAAATTACGGTTTACATTGTGACCAGTGTCAACATTACGCACTAAGGAAGCAACTGCACATCCTGAAGTGCCTAACAGTTGGTTGGGTGGTTAGGCACCTAACTAATGTTACACTTAATGTTCCGTTGACAACAAACTGCATTTTCTTCTAGCCAACATCCAAATTTAATACAAAAAATACACAAGCTCTGATATCTACATCATAAAAGTATAGTAAGAGAGAGGAAATGACCAATTTGTTGCTTTACTCCAAACCTATCCGTAATGGATATATTCCAACAGATTGTGTCGGATAGGAATCTGTAGCAGTTGCAACTGAAAAGAGACCTTAATGGTGATGCAGTGTTTTCTTTCCCCAAATAGACCAAAGAGAGAGAGTCTTCAAACGAAAGCTGACATCCCACTGGCGTCTTCAACACATTAGAATTGTCACAAAGGATCAACAGAGGTGCCTAGAAGTCAAGCAGCAAGGTTTACCATAGATTGCTGCTACCAATTACCAATAAGAGCATACCAAAACAGTACCAGAGTCTTCCTCTAGATAATTAAAGACTCAACATGCAACTAAACTAAATCAAAGTCTAATCGATGCTTTAAAATAAAAATGTTTTTCTGTCCCTAAGCTCAGTGATGTCTTCAAGCCAGAGCCAGAACTTCAAAAAATATTCTTTTCTAGAAAGCAAACTACACCCAAAAAAGCATGAGGCTCTTTCCACGAGTAGAATCATATGCAGTCAAAAAACCATAACCTACTGGCTATGGCAAATGGGGCAAAAGAATAATCAATCAAATTCAAATCCATTTGATTGCAAAGATATTTCATTTCAATGCACACCAGAACAGAAACATTTTGTGCCACAAAAAATGAATAAGAAGAACATTCACATTGAAATCATCAATTAGTAGTGATGATCTATGGATTTGTATGTAAATTTTCATCATTGGACAAATACTCTGAACCCTAATATACATTGCAACAGACCATACATGTTGGCCAATTATCAATATACATTGTCATGAACTAAACGTCACAAATTGCTTATGATCACAAGTGAGATAACCTTAATTCGTTACCTATCACAAGCATGTATATAAATACATTCGTACACACAATCAAGCACGAAATTGAATTGAAAATAAAAGAAATATCTAACACCGCAAATAAAAAACCAAGATTGAAGATAAAAATAAATAGTAAATAGAGAAGATTGACCTGAACGCCGCCCTCGCCTACGCTGCAGGGAATTACAACTGGGCCCACTTGAGCTCTCTCAACGGGCACGTGAACGGGCACACTGAACCCTTTACGAGGAAGATGAGTTTCTACTCTACTACTCACATCATCATGATCTTCATTGTCTTCGTTTTCATCCTTTACTTCGTGCGATTCGTGATTCGCAAACCCTAGAAACCCCGCGATCCTCCTCAGAAGCCTCATCCCTGTGGGCGATGTAGAGAGAGAAAGATATGCATCTAGAGAGAGAAGGCGGAGGATGAAGCGGACACTGCAGGCGTCACGGTTGTAGAAAATCGAGGGAGTGAGGTTTAAAGAGGTGACAGAGATTGCTAAATTTGAGACTGGTGACTCTGGTCAGAGAAAGAGAGAGAGGGGGGGGGGGGGGGGGGGGGGGGGGGGGAGAGATGTAGAGAGAGAGAAGAGAGAGAGAGAGAACTGGGGACGATAGGTTTTTGGTTTTTGGTTTTGGGCACGTTTGGCCCTTTTGCGATGTGATTGGTTCGTTTTTTGATGGTCAAAAGGTGGGCTGAGAGATATTTCGCGTTATGTTACAAAAATGATAAATAACTAAGTAGTATAAAAAAAACACACGATCAAATCATGTGGTATGCTATAAAGAATATGTCATTTTGATGCTTTAATTTAACGATGTTTTCTATACCAAATTCACATACTTTACTTCTAATATTTTTATTTTATTTGTTTGTTTTGCAGAAGCTCTTAACAATTAAGGTTTTTTTCCCTCATGCTAGGTAAATTCTAGCGTACTTACAAATGTTTATTATGATTTTAAACTATTTACTATTTTTAAAAATATTATAGGGTGCTCTAGTAGGCACCATCATTATTATAACGACGACAAAAGATAAGATCTGTCTATATATTTAGTCATCCTTGCTAATTGTGACGTGTTTAATAAAAAATGCACAAATAATCTTAATTACAATATAGGAAATTGATGAAAAAATGATCATAATTTTTTTTTTTGGGAATAAATCCCACCACCCTCTCTGATTTACTTATTTTTCACTTTTCTGGTTTTGTAAATAGGGATTATTTGTGCAGGACAAGACTTGTCTACTCACAGAGTAGATCATCATTGCCTACAGCTGATGTGATTCAATCACAAATGTACAAATAGTTTGTAAAACTTTGGAAACCTATAAATGAGGAAATCACATTGAATTTATTCTAAAAAGTTATTATTGTTTTTATTTATTACTTTCTTAATTTTGTAATTACAAATTATTTTTGCATTTGTGATTGGACCATATCAATAGTAATAGAGATGATTTACTCATCCGTGAATAAAAAAATCTCGTGCATTTGTACATCAACGATCATAGGAGGACCTACTAATTGGTGAGTAGGCAAATCTTATCTGGACAAAAATAAATAAATTGCACTAACCTTTTATGAGGTTTTTCCAATATTTTTCTGAAATTCCCTCTTGTTTATCAAATTTTAATGCATGTAAGTGTAATTTGATGAACAAGAGGTGAGTTATGAAACCTGAAGAGAAATTATTGGTCTATTGCTTAATCAAGTCTTATTTTCTTTTCTTTTTTTTTTTTTTAAAAAAAAAAGAAAAGAAAAGTGTATTGTAGTTTTTTTGTTACTTTCCATTTTTACAAATAAACCTAACATACTATAGTTTTTATATCTTCCCATTTCATATTTTATCATATCTCCTAAATTAAATTTTTTTTAATTTTGTTTTATCTTTTGTACGAAATAATGCTTTTTGTTTATTATTTTAGTTTGTTACACAGTAAGCCCGATAAAAACAATTCAAAAAAAATGGTAAGGTGTTGTAATTTAATTAGAACAAGTTGTTTGATAATATTATTTAAATAATTTAGATATTGTTTAGTTGTGTTTCAATATCGCTTAAGAAGAGCTTCACCAAAAATGAAATAAAGTTTTAAATTAAGAAAAACACTTTTTAAAATCCAAATTATTGTCATTAAAGTTTTAAATTTCAGCGAACAATTATTATTCAGTCCTTAAAATTTTAATATTAAATATATTTTTTCTTCATCAAGCATAGAAGAGTAATTTCTGAAATATTCAAGAAAAAATTATAAAATAATAATGGAGTTTAATTTTTTAATTTCAAGAATAGTAGTAATATTTGATATTATTATTATTTTTTTAAAAGAGATAGAGCCGGTGCATCATTTCATAATTGACAAAAGGAAAAAAAACCCGGTTCACACACACGCCCGAACAACTTGAATTTTCTTCCTGCAAATGCAAAGATCTGGACGATGATGATGATGTTTCACTGAATCCCGAAAGCAAAGCCAATCAGAAGTCCGCCCATACCGTCTGTCGATTCCCCAGCCAAACCCTAGATCTGATATCAGTTGATTTGATCAGCCGTTGGCGGGGACGTCCTTAATCTGAATCTGGATCCACTGGATCGGAAAGATGCCGGTGGCTGCTTCCGCTGTATACTTCTTGAATCTCCGTGGCGATGTCCTCATCAATCGCCTCTACCGCGACGATGTTGGGTCTGCTCTCTCTCTCAACATATATGTATATATACACACACTATACATGTCATATATATTTACGTGTCTCAATTATTTGAATAAATTGTTGCTAAGATGCTTTCGAAGCTGGAGGTACGTGTTACATAAGTTATGTGCTGACTGCTCTTCTCTAGACACATATATATATATATGCTGGCAGTATATGAATCACTATTGTACTCACATATATTTTTTTTTAAAATTAATTTTTACTCTAAGATGTTCAGAATGTGCAGAGATAGAATACTTGTTTGTACACTTTAAAAACTGTATAAATTGTGGTCGGTAACAAGTTTTTTAGATTTTTATGCTTTGGTCTTCATTCAGAGAAGATTTTAGTTGCACCCAGTTCTTCAAATATATATATTTTTATTATTAAAATTTTGTTGGAGTTGTAATGCATAATTTGTGTATATAACTATTGTTTTTAGCTTGATGGTTTCGTTCTTTCACCATTTTGCATTAGTTAGTTACATATTTGTTCCATGTTTGTTAAGCACAGTAATATGTCTCCACTATTCCCACCTACACACTTTCCCTTGAAAAGAAAAATCTTCTGAAGGGCTTTTTCGTAATGCCATGCTTTCACATTGTACTAAATCGTTTCCCATTTTTTTTGTCCACTGAATGTGGTAGTTTTGGTTGAAATTATATATGAGTTCATCTGTTTACGGATAATAAATCACAAATCTAATTTTCCAAACCTCTTGCAATCACTTTTTCTTTGAGTTAATGTATCATATCAATTGATGATATTTGAATTAGTATTTCTTTGTTGATGCTAGGAACAATTCAATTTTATGAACATCCTTTCATAGCACTTAATGACATCCTAAATGTTATGAGGAGACAATTTAGCAAGATCATTTCAAATGTCATTTGGGGATGCTAATCTAGCAGTTGGGTGCTTCTTATGGATTTTTGGGTTCTGTGAAGCATTCTTTATGAAGAAATAATGTGTTGGCCAACAGAAATTTGAGAGACTGGGTTCGTGATCTGGGCCAAAGTGCCAAACATTAAAGAATTGGAGTTAAGGCTGTCTACAATGAATGAGATAATGGGGATTGAGGCTTTGCTTTTTAGAGTTGATGATTGAGAGGCTCAGTTAAGGTTTTATGATGGAAATAAAATTATATTGATTGAGGTGTAAGACTCTTTTTTGGTGTGAAATCAAATGGGCTGATTTTTGTATCAAATCAAGGGGAAAAGCTGGGATCAGTGGGAATCAATGAAAATTCAAAGAATTTGGAGCTTGAAATTTTGGCACAATTAGGTTAGGGTTTTATGATGCGGGGATAAGATTAAGATGGTTGAAGGGCTGATTGTGGTTATTACATCTATGCAAAAAGAGGATAATCGTTAAGGAAGGTTGTATCAAAGTGTCAGTTGAGTCATGGTACTTGCCTATTAATCTCGAGAGAGTGAGAGAGGGAGAGGGAGAAAGTGAAGATTAACTTTATATCGTCACCAAGGTCTTTAAGGATGCTCGCCTAGAAAATATCATGGAGTGTCTGAATTCAAATTTGTTTAATTTTCTTTGCAAGATATAATACAATAGAGCTTTCAAACTTAGAAACTCTTACAGGCACAGGACGCGTTAAGCCAAGGTTTTAAAACACGGTTGCAGTAACAGTGTCACAGTTGTAGAAAATTTCGACACTAAGAACCCTGATCAAAACAAATTGATATGCAAGCTTTTACTCCAGAATTCAATAGAACTATGCTTTTACTATTTTAAATGAATTTTATTGAAAATCCAAAGGTGATATCATACGAGGAATGACTTATAAATTAAATGTTAAGGCACTGTCAATAGTATGGGTGTATTAAAGTGTACTTTGCACTCTAAATTTATGGCTACAAATGCACATTAAAAAATAAACAAAAAAATGTCACATTCGCAAAAATACACACTGAAAGTTTAGAAATTGGAAATTAGTATAGCTGGAGTTGGCAAATGGAAATCTTATATATTAAGGGTTATACACTCTTACTTATTTGCTTGTTTCTCTTATTTTATTTTATTTTATTTTTCTTATTTCTCAATTAATTTTAATAATTTTCTGATTTTTTAAAGTTACTTTCTTATTAAAATTTTCTATGCAAAATTAATTTATATTAATATATGCATGATATGAAGTATGTTTCTAACTTCATATTATACACATGTACCAGTAGTTTACTAAAAATTTTAAAACTTACCAATTAATCTCAAGTTTGGAGTACTTAGAACGTAAATCTACCAAAATTCTCAAGTTTTCCATGTCTTAATTTGTAAATATTTTATGTGATAGGGTGGGTACAGGGTTTGAATTGTAAATCTGTTGGGGGATATAGTGGATTTTGTGGATACGTTGTCAGTATAGCGGGCCTTGTTGGCCCTTTGTGAAGTTGTTTCTGGAGGGACTCCAGAGCACTCTTTAATGAAATTTTACTTATAAAAAAAGGGTGAGGGCTTGGTTTTTTTTTTCTTTCTCTATTTTGATATTAAAATTTGGAGTAGAGAGGGAAACTAAAAAGAGGATGATTCAAGCCTTAAATCACGGTTGTCTTGGCCAAGTCAGGCCAAGACTCAATCGTATTGGTCAAGTCAGACCAAGTTTCAGTCTAGACAACAATGAGTTCCCAAATCATGGTCGTCTCGGTTGAGATTCAGCAGGGTCGATTGAGTAAGACCAAGTCTCAACTGACACAATATAAATTTAAATTTTGGCTGAAAATCTGAGCCAACTCGGCATAGTTTGGCAAGTTTCAAAACTATGCCAAGCTACTCAAAATAAAAATTTTAAGTGACTTTATACAACTTATTCTAAAGAAGCAAGATAACTGACAAAACCCATAACAGAACACCTTACTAATCTAGATACTGAACAAATATTCAATTACAAAATTACCCCTGGACAAAAAGTATTATTGAGTAAAGAAATCTTAGTGCTCCAAAATATCAAGTGGCTTTAAGCATAAACCTTAATAAGTGTGGCCCTCTATTATTTGGCAACTATGCTGGGTCTTGTTGGTTAACTAGTGGGACCAACATGATGTTGCCCTTTCTCTTCCTAACATACACTTGTAGGGACCCATCACAGTCTTTTCACGGTGAGTAGCAAGTTCTGTTCAATGCAGTCTAGATGTCAGTTCTTTAAATTCTTAGCTGTGCCTTTCTCGTTCAGATTGAAGGTATAGTGGCACTAAAGATCTTAAACACTATACCGCCATGGGGTTGTGCTGTTGCTTTAATAATGGTCTGAAGAAATTATTTTGTAACTTTGAATATCTTTTATCCTGGAAAACATACGTCTACTTCCTTTATTGGCGTCAAGTTATTCTTTGCATTTATTTCATGTTATAACTTTATCTATGTTTCTTTGTGTCAATACTTGCTTTTCTGTTAAAGTTTGTTTGGTATGCTTATGTCATCCCCACCACACATTCATTCTTTTGTCTTGATAGCTGCATTTTTTATGATTAAAATTTATTTTACAGAAGGTCCTGTATTTTTTTTATTGACACTAAATCAATTTTTTAGGGGAAATATGGTGGATGCCTTCCGGACGCATATAATGCAGACAAAAGAACTAGGTACCTGTCCCGTGCGGCAGATTGGAGGTTGCTCTTTCTTCTACATGAGAATAAGCAATGTCTACATTGTGATTGTTGTTAGCAGCAATGCCAATGTAGCTTGTGCATTCAAGTTCGTTGTTGAGGTAGTCAGCATCTTCTTGCTGCTTATGCTTTGTAATGGATTTGGCTTTGCCCGTTTTAAACTAAAATCCGTATCTTCAGCATTAACTAGGAAGTTGTGTTCCTTTTACCCTGTATATATCATGATGATGTTGTGCACTATTAGATTATTTGTGTACTACAGACGTTAGATTATTGCAATTCATATTCCTTTTAGTAGTTTGCTTGTCAGAATAACACCATTGGAAAATGTATTTTCCCCTCTCTTCCAATTTTTTTCTGCTTTTCATGCGTGTGAGCTCGTCATGCCTCTTCTAATACATCTTAACTACCTACTATTTTGTATACCCCTGCGCCCCTTCTTATAACATAGATAATTAGAATATGAAACAGACAAACTAACATGCAAGTTGTTAAAAATATGCGACATAAACTAACATACCCCTTCTTTTTATTTATTTCTTTATTTTTTAACACAAAGGGTTCACATACTATGCAGTTAGCGGATTTTAAGAACATGATATAGAATTAACTAGTGGAACTACTTTGACATAGTTACCCTTACAAATATGTTTAAGAGTTTTTTTTTTCCAATCCTCTTTTTGCCCTTAAAAAAATATTATGAATATATCCACTTCCTTAGAAGGAGTTATTTGAGGTGTGCAAGTGCTTGAAAGAAGATGGATAGAAGGCCTTTTTGATGTTCTAAGTTTGGAATTTGTTGATGCAGGGGAGTCAGATTGGTTAGAGAGAATGTCTGAGGAAGAGGTCTTAGACTTGTAACAGAAGTTATATGGGGATAAAAGCTCTCGGTTGGGATGAAATGTTGTTGACATTATATCAATCTGTTATTTGTTATTAAGGAATATTTTACAGGAATTATCCTTTTTTATAAAAAAAGAAGAAATATATTAGAGGAATTTTATAAGAGAGTTAACTTGTCAAGGTTGCTCGGATGGCATTGTCTCAGGGTTGCAACCTTGAGGTGATGAGGTCTCGAGTATGAGTCTGAGTTCAAGCAATTTTCATGGTTGATTGTGGATATTCGGGATTTATGTTGTAGTCACAAGTCTAAAGGGTGTCAGGCTAGAGCGGTTCCTCGTAACAAAAAAAAGAATGTGAGAGTTTTGTTAAGGGGTTGTTTTGAAGTGCTGGTTAATTAAAGGAAAATTTGGAAAGAGTCACAATATGATTTTTTATTTTCTTTTTGAAAAACGCAGATATCAGGTTTTTTCAATTGTGATATATCAGTTGATATATTCATGCTTTGATATTTCATTCCGAGCCCTGAAGTTTTGATTAAGGCAGCTTTTCATCCTTGAATGTGGAGGAGGATGATAGCTTTAGGTTAGTCATTTCAGTTGACATAATTGATTTATTTCTGATAGATGCATCACGTTTAAGGATATGAGCGATTTTATGTAATACTTCATTTTGTATCGTATAATGGTGCTGGGGACCTTATGGGTTTTTTGTTTCCTCTATCCATGGTTCATTGGCTGTTGTCTAAGTTAACATCGATTGATATTATGGGGGAAGATGGGGTTGGGATGTATACAAGAAGGGGGTTCCAAATGGATACTAGAGTCTACTTTCCGCCCTTTGGGTGCAGTTTGAAGGAGAGAAGTAGGAGATTTTATTAATATGTGAAAGAGAAAAAAATTGAAAATTCTTATCAGAAGGAGAGTTTTGCTGTGGGAATTTCTAAAGGTATCATGAGCAGTCACTCCTTTTTCTGATTTCTTGAGCTCTTAAATTTTTTTTTTTTGGTTTTGTTTTGCATACCTTGTGTATGCATAGCCTGTTTCTATATTTGTTTGTATATATATATATATATATAAATCTATTAATTGTCCATCAAAAAAGGAAGAAACAAAACGAAGTTCAAAGGTAGAATTGCATTATGTCTAAATTATTCATTTTGAACATGTCTGTTTTCAGTGGTGCTATCTTTTTTTTTTCTTTTTCTTTTTTTAAGCATGAGGATCTATCTGTTTATTTGGCTTAGATTTTTTCCTCAAAAAATTTCAAGTAATATTTATTGTAGATTGTATTGTTTTGGCAATCTGCTATACTCCTTGCATAATCCAAAGGGAATATTTGGAACCTTATTCACCAGGAAATTTTTAGTCTCACTTTTCATAGTTGGAAAATAATTTGTTTATGCATTTTAATAACCAATACTACGATTACTAATTTTGGTGCAAATTGATATGTGTAATTAATTTTGTATGCAGGCCGTTGCACTGTTCAAATCTTATTTTGGTGGGGCGTTTGATGAAGATGCTATTCGGAATAATTTTGTTTTGATCTATGAGCTGTTGGATGGTATGTTTTAAAGTTATTTATTTTAATGGAACTTGAGATGGTTATCCCTATCTGCTTCTCTTAACATTGTCTTTCAGTTTATAATATATTTAAATGCTGATGGATATGCTGTTGATATGTAGCATGTTTTACTGGAGTGCGTGTTTGAGTTTATTGTTAAAAGTAAATTTTGCATTAATAAGTATTAAAATGGACAAGGAGTATATAAAATAGAATAAAAATGCCCGAAACTAGATTGTCTGGAAAATCTCAAGATAATCACTCTTCACCCATCTAATTACACGAGGTACAAAAAATTTAAGGAACCTAATGCAGTCTCTTTTATTGTTCATTTATTGCCCTTTCGATCATCTGATGCTTTATTTATTTCTGGAGTCCATGATCTTCGTTTTGGAGCTAGAATGTCTGATTATTTGGATTGTTGTTATGCCGATTGTGTGTAGAATCAGTTTTTTCTGCTCACTCACCTACACAAGGTATGCACACACTTACATATATGAAAAAGGTGTAAGGCAAAACAAGTTGTCTGATTTCAGTATCAAAGTCCCCATATATTTCCATATATCCTTGATACTTACTTTCAAAATGCAGAGATCATGGACTTTGGTTATCCTCAAAATCTTTCTCCGGAAATTTTAAAGCTTTACATTACTCAGGAAGGTGTCCGGTCACCATTCTCATCCAAGGTTAGATGTGTGCTATGGTTATATATATATTTTTCTCTCTGTATATAAAAGTTTGGAGATACATGACAACTGTTACCTAAGACTTTTTTCTGATACGTTTTTTTTTTTTTTTTTTTATTTTTAATAAATATTATCTGATTTACCTTGAAGAAATGTGATTTCTTAATTTTTTACTTCCCTTTGAATATTGTATGGACAATTCTTCTGACTTGTTTCTGCCATATGTAAATTTATTATATATAAAGCCTGCAGACAAACCAGTCCCAAATGCAACATTACAAGTTACAGGTGCTGTTGGTTGGCGCAGAGAGGGCCTTGTTTATAAAAAGAATGAGGTATCTTATTTTTCTCATATGCTTCTTCTTGGTGAATATGGCTTTTCTGCTGGTTTTAACATTGATTTGTTAAGCAGGTGTTTCTTGATATTGTGGAAAGTGTTAATCTTCTTATGTCTTCAAAAGGTGGTAAACAGAGCTCATTTATTTTGCTTTATGTATTTCTGTCTTGTTGCATGGTAACAATTTGGTGAGTTACAGGCAGTGTTCTGCGTTGTGATGTAACGGGGAAAATTCTTATGAAGTGCTTCCTTTCTGGAATGCCGGATTTGAAGTTGGGATTAAATGATAAAATTGGCCTTGAGAAGGAGTCACAAGCTAAAGCACGTCCCACGAAGAGGTAGCTTCTGGAGGCCCTTCAGGGTTCTTTATTTCATTTGTTCGTATGAATTTTTATTTTTCCTATTTTCCAGTTTTTATTTTATTTTATTTACTTCTTCATTAGTTTCTTGTTTGTCCTTTACTTCATTAACGTTTGTTTGTGAGATAAACAATTATCTATTTATGTATGGTTTCCTAGAATGGTTTTGTAGTAACTTGTTCACTTGCCCTCTGAACATTGCTTGTATTTTTCGTCAAAATACAATCTTCAATATAGAAAATACCATTGGTATGATCCATTTGTAGATTTGTACCTTCATCCCCTTACTTTTGTTTAACAACTTCCTTTGGGGTTTAGTTTGATTTTTTGAGTTTGATTCCAAAATCATAGTCTACTTTGGTTTTTGTATGCTTTCTTCGTTGAACCAAAGATTATACTGTATAATTCATATGTGATCCCTGCTGTAAAAGATTAATATCAAAGTCAATATGAGTTGCATAACTATGTTGCTTGATTTATTTTGTTATTTCTATTGAAACAGTAACTCTTTTTCCTTTTTTTTTTCTTTTCTTTTCTTTGGTGTGTATTCTTTTTCTTCAAATTTTCTAAATTTGCATTTCTCATCTCAGAATCTCAGGAAAGCTTGCTTCCTTTTTTATGGTTGTTTCTGCTCATGTAAAGTGCTTTGGCCAAACATGTGTTCCTAGTTTGAGTCTTTGCATGATGGTTGCCTTGTATTTGATTTGGTCAGTCTTTGACAATGCTACCTTGTGCAGTGGGAAAACTATTGAGCTCGACGATGTTACATTCCATCAATGTGTAAATTTGACAAGGTTTAACTCAGAAAAGACTGTTAGTTTTGTGCCACCAGATGGTGAATTTGAATTGATGAAGTAAGCTCACAACCCTTCCTCATTTATATATGTTTTTACTTTTAGGTCTTTGATGTAGTTTATTTTAAATCAGCAAAGGCAGGGTGTGTAATGACATATTTCTTTAGTAAACTTTCTTCTATTCTGGGTGACTTGTAAAAAGTTACTTGTGTACACATGATTGTTGAACTATAAACAACTTTAAATTATGTATGAAGGTGAATTGTTGTTATTTTTTTTTTTCATTGTTCACTCCTGGAAAAGATGGATGAAGATGCCTCAGAAAAAATTCTCATGAAACTTACTTGGAGTGGATAATGCTCATGATGTCCACAATGAGATATATTATGACCTCGATTTTTACCAATTCCAGCATATCTTAACCATACATCTAGCCCTCTGTTCTTAATCTATGTAGTTCCTAACTTCACTAGATTGAAGGTTCATAGTGATTGCATTAATTACTTCTGTATTCCATCCCTTGTGTTACCTTGAGTTACACTTGTATTTTTAATTTGTATGTTTTGAACTGTCATCACTGTAATTGTTTTGGCACTACCTTTTGTGTGTGTATTACCTCCTTTGTGGTGCCCGAATGAGGATCCTTTTTCCACTTTATACTTAGGTGCATATGCATACATAAGTGGATTAATGATGATGGGCTCTTATTTGTCTTTCCTGCAGGTATCGTATTACCGAGGGTGTAAATCTTCCATTCCGGGTATTGCCAACTATTAAGGAACTGGGTCGGACGCGCATGGAAGTAAATGTTAAGGTATTCATTTAATCTACATTTTGAAATGGTTGTAAATGTTATAACCATGCATTTATCTTAATATTTCTTAATTTTCAGGTAAAAAGCGTATTTGGTGCTAAAATGTTTGCGCTTGGAGTTGTGGTTAAGATTCCTGTACCAAAACAAACGGCAAAAACAAGTTTCCAAGTGACGTCAGGTCGAGCAAAGTACAATGCAGCTATTGATTGCTTGGTTTGGAAGTGAGTATTTGAATAAGTTCTTTTGCATAATTTTATCACTTAAGTCCATTTTCAGTCTATTTAGTATGTTATGATCGTATAATGTTGTACGTGGAAGGTGAGTGCTTGATTTTTGTCTGATTGAAACATGGATTTACAGAGGATGTGTGTGTTGGGAAACGTGCTAGTTTTAAAAACTTTTCGAGGGATTTAAATTCATAGATCTTGATTCATCACATAGAGACAAGTTTTATGCAAAAATAAAACATGATGTATCATTCAATTAAAAGATTGAATACTTACATCAAGGTTTGAGTAAACCTTAGATCTCTCCTCTAAAGTGAATGTTCTCACTTATTGTAGATCCCTTTTGCTAGACACCTTTTCCATGGATCTCCATCTTCTTGGTAATTCTTTTGCCTTTAGGAATCACTCATATGCCTCCATGAATGACCTTGGAAAACTAGGCTTGTGGGAGCCTCCATTAGATGAGAACATAAACCCTAATTTTCTAGAGAGAGAAAATTTATTCCTTTTTCCTTCTCATAAAAATCACCCCCTAAAATATACATAGACCATGTATATTTATAGGCAACATAAAAATAAAGAAAAGGAAACAACAAATCCTTCTCCATCTCTAATTCATATGTCTCAAATCTAATATGATTCCAATATCAAGTTGGGCTATGAGTGAGAATCCATTGGGCCTATTATTTTATTGGCTACAATGAATTAATAATTGGCCCGGTCCATGGACCCAATTCAATTAATTCATAAATTAATTTCTACTCCACTAAAAGAAATTAATTGAACTCCAATTAAATAATAAATAACCTCTAAGTCAATATTGCACTTTGACCCCTCTATGCATAATTAGTTATCGGATAAATATAGCCATCAATCCGACTACTTAATTAATATATTTATTTTGGTACCTTTGATTATTTCTGGCTCGATCACAATAAAACATTTGTTTGACAAAAATAATAATTTAAATAAATAAATATATAATAAATCATTTTGTCTAAAAACACACGAAGGCCTTCGAATTTACTTTGTGATCAACCATAATCAATACAAAATAAATACAAGTAGCAATGATGCAAATATTGAAAATATAACCCTCTAACTATTAATTACATAACTACCCAAAGTGTCGGTTTAAGGATCCCGAAGAATCCGCCGAACAAATCAAAGTAATTATTAATTAATAAAAGAGTCTATACTTTTCTCATGCTTAAGAGTCAAATGCCATGACGGTGATAGGGAGTAATTGCATACGACGGCTCTCGCAATATATCTCAACCTAACGCGGATCCAGTTCAAGTCTTAATTAATTATGAGTCCATCCATAATTACCGACTATGAACAATTTATAATTACTATTTATATATCATGCATTGATTGTCATCACATACATATATATAAATATTTCTTGTAATTAACTGGACACTATCAATTTCATAGTGAATTGAAACATAATACATTGAATTCACCAATTATATAAATCATAAATATTTCAGATATGTCAGGAACATATGTCAATACAATCCAGATAGGAATTTGCTATGCCAGGGCATATAAATCCCAACAGCTCCCACTTGCCCTCATAGCCAATTCAAATTGCACCTAACTCCAATGTTATCCAGATGATGATCAAAATTATTGATCAATGACACCTTTGATAATGGATCAACAAAGTTGTGTTCCAATGCAATGTTTTAACTACAAGTGCATTTTCTTGCCGGACAATATCATGTCGAACGTGATACTTCCTCTCAGTGTATCTTGTTCCTCTATGGAACCTTGGGTCATTGGTTTGGACTACTTCTGCACTATTGTCACAATATAGCTCGATAGGCAGGCTAGTATGCTCCACAACCTCTAAATCAGTGAGATCAAACCAATAGGCTTATATTGCCACCTTTAAGGCTGCAATATGTTCCACCTGCAGGTTTGAGTCAACAGTTGAAATCTGCTTGACAATCTACCAACTGATTTCCCTTCCATTAAGTGAACATACACTAAGTCATGAACCTCATAGTATCTACTTCTGATTGAAAATCAGAACTAGCATATCTGACTAGGACCATATCATCACATCCATAAATGAGTATGATATCATTGATTCTCCTTAGGTACTTAATGATATTTTTCACAATAGACCAGTTGTCAAGTCCAGTATTGGACTGATCTCTACTGACTATCCCTACCATGTAGCGGATGTCCTGTTTGGTATAGACCATGGCATATATGAGACTCTCATATGCCGAAACATATTGTTCCAGTCTCATTTGCTCAATCTCCTCTGCTAGTTTTGAAAAACTACTTACTAGAGAGAGCGATCCATATCAATAAAGCAAGAACTCATTCTTTGAGTTATGCATACCAAACCTGGTCAAAACTTTATCAATGTAGGATTATTAAGATAAGCCTATTTTCCTTTTAACCTGATCTTGCAAAAGCTTGATCCTAGGAATATAGCTTACATCTTGAAAATTCTTCATTTAAAAGTAATTGAACAACTACCTTATAATTGATGACAAAACTTCCACGTCATTATAAATGAGTAGGATGTCATCAATATATAGAATTAAGAAAAATAATGACATTCCCTTGTACACTCATGATTTATTCACTAAGAAATCTTCTGGTATCTTTTTGTAGATTAACTTGCCTTCCATAGGAATCACCCTACTAGAAAATTCTACAAGATCTCAGAATTTATTAGAATACATAGATTCCAACTCTGATTTCATAGTAACTCACCAAAACGATCTGTATCCACATCGGTTCACGCTTCCGTGTAGCTTACTGGGTCCAACTCATGTTTAACAGGGATGTCCATAATGGTCTCACCTAAAAACATGATTCTGTCGAATTGGATGATAATCCTCCCACTACATCAATGTACCGATGCAAGAATCTGTGTAGTAGATGATGCTAACGCATCAATAGGGAATTCATATATTATTCTCAATCTCTATAATAAGTGTGTTCACATGTGGTACACCTGGTACTCATACCAAATTCTCTAACATTATGCTACTAGGTATGTGATTCATAATATGATTCTCCTATAGATTAACAGTGAGTGAAAACAATCAACTTTTATCTTTGAGATCATAAAATAATCCATCCTAGTGACATTTAGAGTAGCTATCAAATCTAGCATGCCTATGATCTGATTCCAACTTACTTGTCCATATCAAACGCACGTGTGCAAGACTACCCCATATGTGCATATGATTCAAACTAATATTTAGTCAAAAACACAGCTCAACGGTATCCTTGAGACAGACTAAGATGGAATGCAGTTCATAATGCGCATCGATGTCATTAACGCTAAACTCTTAAATGAAAGAGATAATGTGGCATTACTGATCATAGATCTAACCATGTTAAGTGGAATTCTGTTATTCCTATTTGACACCTAAATTAATTTAGCGTCAATTGCGGAAAACTGGTACACAACACCCTCATTGACCATATAGTCTTTGCACTATCCCAAGAAATACTCAAATACTCGATCAGATCGAAGTGTCTTGATAAGTTTACCTAATCTGAGCTCCACATCAGTCTTGACCCTCTCGGAATATACCAAAAGTATAAGACTTGTGTCGCAACAGGTAAATTTATCCAAAACGTGAGTAATCTTGATTGGATGTTCATAAGACCACACGTGTCAGTGTGTACCGACTCCAATTGTCCTTTATGTCTATTTCATCTGGCTGATTAAGCCCTAAGAGTTATCTATCCTTCAAAACAGGGTTCACAAGTTTGGTTTAGGCTCCCCTGCCTTACTAGGTAATAAACCTTCTTTGACCAATCTTTGAATCTTATTTTGATTGATAACAACCCAAAAATAGACACTAAAAATACAATGAGTCAGGAATAACAATTTTTTTCTTAAACATTCAATCTAGAAGATGCAACATTAGTTTCTACATCCTGCAAATCTTAAGAGTTTGTGATTATAGTATATTAACCATCTTTCAATGCACCAGAAGCAATCGCATATCTCTTCAATTTTATAAAACCAGTTTTACAAAATAACAACACAGTTTTTATAAACCAAAAGTGAAATAAGAATGAGATTGTGTTTCACTTCTGTGCATAAAGATAGTTCTCTAATACTAATATCCTCATACTCTCTAATTTCAGATGTAATACTCCCACTGACTTAACTACAACCTTGGCATCAGGTCAAAAGATAAATATATATCCATATCATCAAGGCTTCTGGATTCCTGAAATCCTTACAATAAATTGCAAACATGTTTAGTGGCTCCAGAATCTATCCATCAGGAATTAATAGACGCAACCACATAACATGGCTCAATGATTAAATATATATTTTCCTATGCCACGTCATTGCTTAAACAGTTCGTCCTTTAGTGTTTTAGTTAGCGACAAAAGAAACAGGTTTCTTCGCCCTCAACCCACACTGCCTTATTCCCTTTAACCTTTTTGAATACCCATGTTTTGTGCTAGTCTAGTCCTATTATCATCATTCTTCTTTGCTTTGCCCGTCCACTTGGGCCTAGAAGAAGATGGTATAGACTAGGTTAGATTGATAGGAACGCCCATACTCTTGATTATCCCTTCATCTGTTACCAATTCTATAAGAATATCAGCGAGTGTGAACTCAAACTGATTCCTTATTTAGTTCACTCTAACAGAGTCGAATGAGTTTGGTAACAAGGCAATAATCATGTCAACTTGAAACTTACCACCCAAGTCAGCCTTATTGATCTCCAGCTAATTTTTAAATAATAAACAATCATTTTCCAAAATTTGATTTCAAACTGGAGTTCATCAGGCTATCTTGATGGTATTTAAATTTGACACAGTACTTAGGCATATGCTCTATCTAATCTCACCAAAATATCTCATTGACATTTAATATGATGCTTGAAGAAAATAAAATAATACAAATGTTAGCTTTGGAGTATATTCGAGCTAAACTCTAGAATATTGTACCAAGTCATATCATTTGCCTTATCTAATTTATTAAAAGCATTAATGTCAAATTTGGTATCTCAAAGTAAAAGAGATAGGTATAGGAGTAATAAACACATTTTGTACCCTTACGTTGTGAATAAAATATCTAAGTTCATTTTCCAGTCATTATAAATAAGGTCCAATATCATAGAATATGTAAGCAAGTAGATAAACTGGATTAGACATAATTAATCTGAATATAAATGCATTCATACAACATGCAAGGTGAATTATTAATTCTGTCATGCAATTTTAAAATTAAAATGAGTTTGTTAACCACATAATATAATAAATCTCAATCGAACAAGAGATCATTATCATTATTGGTGAACAATCCCTTTTAATTAATGCGGGTCCCTCAACTCTGTAGCATAATAAATCAACCAATCAATATGTCAATAACTTATCCTGTTGGAGGAGTTCATTATTACTATTGTTGAGATTCATTTACTATTAGGTGAGCACTTCCATTAAAATAATAATATGTGGGTCCCTTAACCACTGCATGAAAAATCGAATAACCAATACGCCAATAACTTATTCGGTTGGCGAAGTTCATTATTGCTATTGGCAGTCAAATCCCATCATTTCCATATCTCTTAAGACAATGCCTTGTCTATCATATGAAATGATTCCCGATTTAATTTAGCCTTTCTAAAATCACCTAGTATAGACCACTTCGTTGGGAAGCTAATACTATTGATTTTAGATTGAGTGTATAACGTTATTAAAACTCTAACGAAAAATTAAACATTAAATATGTTATCATTATAATCTAGACTCTTTAAATCATGCGTAGGGCCTTATTTTTAAAGATCTAATTACAATGAACATTTAATATTTGTATTTTCATGAGACAACCATTCTTGTAATATTAAGACTCTTCAAATCATGCGTGAGGCCTTATTTTTGAAGATCTAATTACAATGGTGTTAATAACAAAGGCCATGGGGCAATGTATAAAAATCCCCGCTCCCACTCAATTTTTAATCATTCATAATTAGGGTTTTCATTTTATTCATTTACATGATATAATGCACGCAAAACGTCTTGATTTTAATCCAATTAAATTTAGAAAATATTTGGACTTTAAACGATTCACTAATATTTAATTTGAAGCACACTTTAAAAATAATTTACAAAAACAATTTTTCGTTTCCCAATAAGTGCCCTCAAATTAATTAGTAATCTAATCCAATTAATTTTCATAATTTAATTAATATAAATCAAGCCATTTAAATAAATATCATGGATCCAATGCATGAACAATAATAATTAGCAATTAATTATTTCATGCATCACATACAAACAATAAATGACAGATAAAGCAAATTAAATGGCCAATGGATTCAGCTTTTAACATTTAAAAACTATTCTTGCTGTACGGGCATCCTTCAACTGTCTGTAAACACCCATAGGAAGCTTGTACGCGTCAGGAGAAGCAAAACGCCGCTTGAAACGAGCCCGGAGGACCTCACACGCGCTGGCACGCGCCTAGGGCGAGCTGCACGTGCTCCCACGCGTTGCCACGCGCCGGCACGCGCCTGGGGCGCGTGGAATGCACACTCACGCGCTCCCACGCGCCTGGGGCGCGTGGGACGCGCCTCCACGCGCCTTCACGCGCGTGGAGGTCAAGCTCCCTTGGCTGGCGCGTGCAATGCACGCGCCAGCATGTGCACTCTCCTGGCGCGTGTGGAACACGCGCCAGGCTCACCATCTTGACGCCACACCTGATCCGGGCCACCTCCGACGCCCCTTCTCGCCGCCGGCGAAGCTCCGGCCACCGGAAAAACGCCGGAAAAATTCCAAAAAATCCAAAAAAATGCCAGAAAATTAAATTAAGCCTTAAAAAATTCCAAAAAAATTCCAAAAAATTCGGAAAAATTCGGAAAAATTCCAGAAAATTACTGAAGCATAATTTAACCCTTTTGGACCTTCTTGAAGCTTCATAGCATCCTTTGACGAAGATTACATGGCTTTAAAAATATTTACAATTTGAAATACAATGGAAAAAATTAAATTACATCATTGAACTTTCAAACGGCTAAATCAAAGCCTTAATTACATTCATCCAAAGATAAAATTACATTAATTTAACCTATAAGCTTCATCCATGGCCCAACCATACATCATCATTCATTCACAATTATTCATACATCATTATGTATCAATATATATCAACATATTAAATCATACATCAACATACATCAATAAAAATATATATGAATATAATTTTGGATCCATGAATGATGATTTTCATAAAATCATGATCTCTAGTAATGAATCAAACCATGCTCTGATACCACTATTGGGAAACGTGCTAGTTTTAAAAACTTTTCGAGGGATTTAAATTCATAGATCTTGATTCATCACATAGAGACAAGTTTTATGCAAAAATAAAACATGATGTATCATTCAATTAAAAGATTGAATACTTACATCAAGGTTTGAGTAAACCTTAGATCTCTCCTCTAAAGTGAATGTTCTCACTTATTGTAGATCCCTTTTGCTAGACACCTTTTCCATGGATCTCCATCTTCTTGGTAATTCTTTTGCCTTTAGGAATCACTCATATGCCTCCATGAATGACCTTGGAAAACTAGGCTTGTGGGAGCCTCCATTAGATGAGAACATAAACCCTAATTTTCTAGAGAGAGAAAATTTATTCCTTTTTCCTTCTCATAAAAATCACCCCCTAAAATATACATAGACCATGTATATTTATAGGCAACATAAAAATAAAGAAAAGGAAACAACAAATCCTTCTCCATCTCTAATTCATATGTCTCAAATCTAATATGATTCCAATATCAAGTTGGGCTATGAGTGAGAATCCATTGGGCCTATTATTTTATTGGCTACAATGAATTAATAATTGGCCCGGTCCATGGACCCAATTCAATTAATTCATAAATTAATTTCTACTCCACTAAAAGAAATTAATTGAACTCCAATTAAATAATAAATAACCTCTAAGTCAATATTGCACTTTGACCCCTCTATGCATAATTAGTTATCGGATAAATATAGCCATCAATCCGACTACTTAATTAATATATTTATTTTGGTACCTTTGATTATTTCTGGCTCGATCACAATAAAACATTTGTTTGACAAAAATAATAATTTAAATAAATAAATATATAATAAATCATTTTGTCTAAAAACACACGAAGGCCTTCGAATTTACTTTGTGATCAACCATAATCAATACAAAATAAATACAAGTAGCAATGATGCAAATATTGAAAATATAACCCTCTAACTATTAATTACATAACTACCCAAAGTGTCGGTTTAAGGATCCCGAAGAATCCGCCGAACAAATCAAAGTAATTATTAATTAATAAAAGAGTCTATACTTTTCTCATGCTTAAGAGTCAAATGCCATGACGGTGATAGGGAGTAATTGCATACGACGGCTCTCGCAATATATCTCAACCTAACGCGGATCCAGTTCAAGTCTTAATTAATTATGAGTCCATCCATAATTACCGACTATGAACAATTTATAATTACTATTTATATATCATGCATTGATTGTCATCACATACATATATATAAATATTTCTTGTAATTAACTGGACACTATCAATTTCATAGTGAATTGAAACATAATACATTGAATTCACCAATTATATAAATCATAAATATTTCAGATATGTCAGGAACATATGTCAATACAATCCAGATAGGAATTTGCTATGCCAGGGCATATAAATCCCAACAGTGTGACCTTTTCTTGTTACCTGATCAAGGTGTTGGTGCAAGGCAGTAATGGAGTTTAGTGCAATGATATCTATTTGTGCCTAGGAACTTCTTTAACACTCATTTAGGCATTGATTTATTAACATTAACAGGGAGATTGTCGTCAATAATAATACTGATGAGACGCCTAGCAAACATGTATAGTTATATGTGCAATGTATATATATAAGAAGGTTGAAGCTCATGGAAACATGAAAAAAAAAAAAAAAAAAAAAAAATTTCTTAGAGCATCTTTTAAAACATGCTTGGTCATAAGCATATACCAAAAGCATAATTTTTTTATTTATCTTTGTACAAGTTCATAAATAGTATTTTGTTTTTCAGATCATCTAACTTTTAGAATTTTAAATCACACTTCATTTGAAAATGTTCCTTACATTCTAATGGATGCCATCTAATTATTTGCAGCAAACAATTCTTCTATTTTCTGAATATTTTGTTTCATACACTAATTATGGAAGATAATAGACTCGTTAATATCAATGTATAGCATTTTTTAAGACATTCATATTCTAATTTTCAATGTGTTAATTCAAAGAGCTCTTATGCTTCTGCAAATTTGTTTGCTTGTTAAATCTTGATCACTTTATCTATTTAATGTCCATTTTGGTTACATGGATGCATGTTAAGAGTTGATATTATGTTTTGGCCAAATACGAGTTACAAAATATGTCCTAATGTCCTGTATTTTTGCACGTCTGATGTACAACTTCCATGATTAACTTAACTCCAATTTCTTAAATTTTTAGGAGTTTCTAAAAATGACGAAATAGTTTTTACTTTTACCTTTTGTTTTTGCTCCATCTTGCAATGCTTCATCTTTCATTTTAGTGTGCTGCTGTTGATCTATGTAACGTTCTTTGAAATTTTTAGGATAAGAAAATTTCCTGGACAAACTGAGCCAACCTTGAGTGCGGAAATAGAGTTGATTTCCACGATGGCAGAAAAGAAGTCTTGGACTAGACCACCAATTCAGATGGAATTCCAGGTGCCTAACTGATTGCATATTACAGCTTGTTTAAAATGGTTTTACTTAATAGTAGTTCACTTGTCTGATGTCTCATGGAAATGAATAGAATGCATTGGCATGGTCCTTGATCATCTTAACTACCCCACAATTAATAAGCAATGGTTCCACCTCTCATCTACGGTGTGTGTTCTATTTGTCTCCCATAAAAGCTCCCTCTTCATGGATGTTGATTCTTTGGAATAAGGAGTTTAAAAATCTTTATACATTTATTATGAATAAAATAATGGCTTACTTTTCTTTTCAATGTTTTTGTAGTGGCGGTAAGATAAAATTTAGATCTAACAAAAATAAAGAGTTTTTGGATCTGGGGTTTCTTTGTTCCTGGATCTTATGCTCTTCTCCTAAAGCTTATGATCTGTTCATACTCGAGCTTTGTTTTTTCCTATTTGATTTCTTTTTAATTTTAAATATTGTCTTCTGCGTCAACCCTCCTTTCCCCCAAACCAAAGATTTAAAAGGGAACAAAAGAAGGAAAAAACACCCTTTGGGTGGGTGGGTAGTAGGGAGATCATACATGGTGTTATTACTACTTGCTATTGTTATTCATACTTAAAGAAACAAAATTAAACCTGAAATTGTATGATGTAATGGGACTAACTATAGTTTCATGCAAATCCTTGGCGAGCTTACATGACTTGCCTTAAAGATTGTCCACATAATGGCACAGAGGTTTTGTCTGATTCGATTACATTTTTGCAGGCTGGTGTTGGTTTAAGATTTTAAAGAATTTGTACTAGTTCCATTTGTTTTGAGTCTCCTTAAGCCATCTACATATTGAACCAATCATTTCCTTTTTATTTTTATTTTTTATGGAAAAAGGTACAAAATAAATAAGGTGAAGCAAGTTTGATGTAAAATATAATCCTCATCAGTATTTAAAATTCATAGCGTCTTTAACATTTTAATGTAGGTATTTCTGTCACATAGCTACTATATATAACATGCGCATGGACATCATCCTTTGTATAGTAGAATAATTAATATTCCTGCCTTTTCAGGTTCCTATGTTTACAGCATCTGGATTACGTGTCCGTTTTCTTAAGGTAAATTTACTGGAGTTAGTGGTATATAAACCTTTTAGCTATTGTAAATGTAGCTTCACTTTCTAAGCTCTCTGCAGGTATGGGAGAAGAGTGGGTACAACACTGTTGAGTGGGTTCGTTATATTACCAAAGCTGGTTCTTATGAGATTAGGTGTTAGAGACATACGAATGCTGCTCTGAATTTTTTTTCGAGGACTTGTCGTTTTAATGGTGTAACATTTTGAAGCTATTGTGCCGGGGTTAAAAGAAATTATTGCATAAATTACCCTGATACGGTATGGAGATCTCCTGGAAAAGGATGCAGGTTCTTATATTCTTTGAGGCATTTCTTGTTTCCTTCCCAGTTCCGTCGATGATAACACATGGCGAGAAATTTGGTTTCGTCAATTTGTGCTGTAAAGGCTAATCCTTCATCAGGACTGGAAGAGTATGAGTTTTCTTTTCTGATGCTTTGTGTGTGTGTGTTTTCCTTTTCTCTGTCCTAGTTTTCTTGTCATAAATATTGTACTTGTTTTGAACATGAAAGAGGAATTGAGAGAGTTTTACTGGTGATGTCGAAAGTAAAATTGTAAAGAGACTTGCAATTTGATAATTTGATTATCACATCATTATTCTTTTGTTTTTTTGCTGGTAAAGTTTGCAATTACAGCTATTGCTTAATTCTACCTAATATTTGTCACTATTTATTGATAATAATGATAAATTTTGGTACTTTTTACAGGTATTAGTGAATGAATACCAGTTTCAGTTTGATTGGTGAAACATATATTCATTTGAATCAAGTTTTTGTTTTTTTTTTTTGTGTTTTTTTTTTTTTTTTTTTTGTTTTTGGAAAGTTTCATTTGAATGAGTTGTCAAGAGTGACAAGCCGAGAGAAGTAAATTTGTGTAAATAATACCAAAAGTAGTATTTACGTGACAAAACAAAAAACCCAAAAGTAGTATATGTTATATCTACTTGAATCCGAATCTTATTTGTCTGGTAAAACGATATTAGAGTCCGTGTTTGGTCTTTGAGCAAACACTTCAATTTTGCTTTTTCTATTTTGATTTTTTAAAATTATATAGGTATGTCTTAACTTTAGTCTTTGACCTAACACTTCATTTTTGCTTTTTCTATTTTGATTTATTAAAATCATATGGGTGTGTCCTAACTTTAGTCATGCAATTCTTCTAAACAGTCACATGTTCCAAGCATGACTCGATAAACTTTTTTGTGTGACCTAGATTCTAATCCTTTAACCATTTTATTGTTACTTATTTTTTAATTTTATTTTATAACATGTGTATAAACCCTTAACAATTAAAACTTTATGTTAAGAAGTAAAGCAAAATGATTTTAATTAAATAATTTTTTTTTTTATTATTATTAATTTTTTTTTATGAAGGGATGTGAGTTTAAAGAAAGAGGTTTATTGAGATGGAGTCCCGCAACTCAAGGGGTTATTTGATTAAAGGTAGGAGAAACTATTTTGTTGCAAATTACTCCACAATTTTTGAGTTTTTACATTTTTTGTTGACATTGATTTTAAATTACTCATTTAACCTTATTATTCCAAATCCAAATGTACAATGGTCACCTAATCAATTCATATTGATAAAATTCAAACCCAAATGACTACATTTTAAGTTATTACCCTTTAAAACGATTGAATACAAAATATGTTCATTTCAAAACTTTCAATCCAATTGGAGTCTTAACTTAATTGCTGAGCATGTTGAATGCAAGTGTGGTAGTAATTTGTATTTGATAATTGAACTTTTTAAAAGAATGAAATAATAACCACTTAATTATGGAAAAAAAAACTTAAATAACTGAGGCGAGTATACATGTATGATTAATTGACTAGCATGCAATTAATTGAAATCATAGAGGTCCTGGAGAAATCATAAAAATATATATCATTAATAGAAATATTAATAAATTTATTGAGAGATACTATCTATAGTCACGATTTACATTAACTTTGGGAATATAATAATTGGGATTTTGACGTGTTATGTAATTACAAGTAATAACTATCAAAGTTGACGTGTTATGTATATGATAGAAGAAATTTAAAAGAGACAGACTAATAAATATGAATACAATAAATGGCAAATCTTGTGGACTAAAAACAAAATTATTATAACAATGACTTAACTTATTTAGATTATTTAGATGGGTGGGTATTCACAATTGAAATATTAATTTTACCAATATCTTGCAAAAATTTATTAACAGTTCCATTGAAAAATTTCTTCTAAGAATAGATTTTTTTTTTAATCATGAAAGAATAGAATTTGATAGAACCATAATATGAAATTTGTTTCATGCCTTTGAAAACTCTTTTTAAATTTTTTTTATATTTTTATTTATTCATCAGGCACTAAGTCCTAAAAGTCACACACGCGTTTCAGCTCCGCTTTTCATTCTCTGAGTTTCCTATTTCACTTTGTACTGGTAATCCTCAGTCTCCAAAAACAATCTGCATTTCAATAACATAAACCCATCCCCAGAATCTGTTTGTTTTTAGATTCAATCTGCAAAATGGCTTCACGAGAAGCGCCACCGCCTCCGCCGCCTGGTATGGGAGTGGGACCACCCAACTCCTACACTCCAAACATACCCAACAACACGCTGGCTCCCAATTCTACCGCTAATTCGATGATGCAAAACCCTCGTTTTCCCTTCAATTCTATGGTAACTTCTGCACCAACAACTTTGGATTCTTTGAACTCACAGTACAACAATGGATCGCAGTCTTCTGGGTTTAATCCAGGTGGGTTCAGCGTCGACGCGGCGAGGAAGAAGAGAGGGCGGCCGAGGAAGTACTCCCCCGACGGTAACATTGCTCTGGGTCTGGGCTCTACCCCTATTTCTTCAGTGGGCCATGGAGATTCCACTGTTGCGTCGCCGTCGTCGTCTGCCAAACGGAGTCGGGGAAGGCCAGCGGGTTCAGGGAAAAAGCAGTTGGATGCTTTAGGTGATCATAAATTGTTTATTTTATTTTTATTGATAGTAGTTAATTTGTAGTGGTTGTCCATTTTGGTTGATAATATTAATTTGTTGTGCTTGGATGTGTTTTGATTGTTATGTGGTTGCTTATATAGTTATATTCATTGATGTTTAGTTTGTGCTATAAATTTTTCAAGAATGGAGAGTGAATTTTGAGTTCTTTTATGTGAACAGGATCTTCTGGAGTTGGTTTTACGCCACATGTTATATTGGTCAAACCTGGCGAGGTAATGTGCCTTTCATATTAGTATGAACAATTGGCATCAATTATATTTCAAGATCTAGCCTTTACATATATATTATTGTAGGATGCATTGTGATTGCAGATATCTTTAGTTTAGCCTTTTTTGTGTGCTGTTAAGTTTGGTATTTGGCTTAAGGTTGGCACCATTTTTGGAATGAAATTTGAAATACAAGAATAAATACCTAGGTTTGTGCGGGTGTTGCCTTGACCAGCATTTTGTAATCTTTGATACGGTTCGTTAACCTGATGTGGCTTCCACTAGAGAATTCAAAGTAAGAAATGTGAGAAGCGAAAGGAAGAATATTGAGATATCAAGGGAAATATTGAACAATTCCTAGTGAAAGAAAATATAGAAAGAAGGGATGTGGCCCTTTTTTGGACATCAGACGTGAAATGGTTACTTGTGATTTGATGGTTTCACCTTAATAAATATTAGTGACAAAACATGTGTGTGTGTTTCAAGTAAATAATGCAAATAGCATGGTAAATTGTATTCAATCAACTAGCCTTTTCAATTGATCATCTGTGGTGGAGCCCGAATTCTTTTCATTTACACCAAAACGGTTGAAAGTGGTATGCTTTTCGGAATTTATTGAGGTAGCTCACTTAAGAGGAGCCAAACCCAAATCTGATATGTTGAGAAGACAAGAAGTCCTGATTTTTGGAGTAGAGATGGGTGAAGAATGAAATTTGTTCAAACAATAAAATGACTTCAAATTACTGCTTTATTATCACAAGTTAAAAAGTCCCAGAACATATTAATAGTGGGTATTTTGGGGACAAGCTGAGCTTATTTTACTCATTTTGGCATTGTGTGACAGGATAGTTGGAAGCGGTTATCATGTAATATATTGAAACAAACACAATTTCTCTTGTTTAAATTTTTGTTTTGTTCCTTGGTGTAAAATTATCTTATGAGGACTTTATGCCAATTTCCCTCATTGTGTGCATTTTTCTTAGTTTTCTTATTTTATTAGCTTTTGACTAGTTTGCTTGTTTACTTTATTTTATTTATTTATTTATTATTGTTATTATTATTATTATTATTATTTTATTTCTGAAGGGGGAGGGGTTATGTACATGGATGATTTAGTGGACCCTTTTGTTAATAGGTGTTGGTATTGACGGCTTGTTGTATGCAACTTGTTGAAGTAACAAGACGACTTAAATTAATGCCATTCTTAAAATATTTTACATATATGGTATTGTGGAGAGAGATATTTTTGAAAGAAATTTATCCATGCTTTATACAACAATATAGAGCACAGTGTCATGTTATTGGAATTTTAACCAAATGCATGTGTTTTTGTTGTTTAATTATTATTTATATTGTGGTCATGTAGAATTATGTTGTGACGAAATTAGTCGGTTTCTTATCCTTGCTTATATGTTTTTATTTTATTTTCTATTTTAAGTTTAAAATTGCATTTTTTCTTCTTCTTCCTCCTTTTTATTGTTACTATATATATTTTTTTCCTTTGAGATTTTATTTATTTATTTTTGCCTTTTGCACCAGGTCGGGGGTATTAGTTTAAGTTTTACTGGAGTTATTGTCCAAAATGCAATGTGCCTTCTCATTTGGGTTCTCTTTTGGTTTACAGGATATAGCATCGAAAATCATGGAATTTTCGCAACTAGGACCACGTACTGTATGTATTCTTTCAGCAAATGGTGCCGTCCGTCGTGTCACCCTTCGCCAACCCGCAATGTCTAATGGCACTGTGACATATGAGGTTTGTATGACAAGGGATATGTATAACCTTTAACATTTAATATTATTATCAGCTCAATTTTTTTAATTTAATTTCAATTTTTAGTAGATGTGTACAATGTACGCTTTTAGAATTATTTGAGCAAGGAGACATGAAAATTTTCCAATTAGAGCTTCCATAGTCATTGCTATTGACAACTAATATATTTTTAAAATATGGAGAAAGATATCTTCAGGTTGCACGACTGTGTTTGGAATGTTTTCTTATCTATTACATGACAATTGACCATTAACCACATTCTTCCCTTTTGGAGATCATGCCAATACTTAAATAGCTTTAGCAATGTCTTTGTTTCTTCTTTAAGTAATTGGAAATTTTAGATATCTATCTATGGACGTATCACATGTAAGATGGTAAGCATGGAGGTGTCACACGTGAGATGGTGGGGGTTCCAAGTGGATTGGGTTAGGTAAAAGTCAAGGCTGACTGGTATGTGTGTGTGACACAGGAAAAAAGAGAGAGGGAGATTACCAGACTCACAAGATCAATACCTTGCCCTTGAGGATTGGTCCAAGCTTTAAGAGATAGATATATTTTTTTGTTTGTATCCTCAATGTTCTATGAGGATCTATAATTGAATATACTACCTGAAGGTTGTACTTAAGGTTTTATTTTCCTCATTAAATGTAGATTAGATGTCTAGTTAATGTAAATGTGTGAGGGTAAGGCAATGCTTATAGTTTGATGAGATGCTGCCATGTGTAGATGTACCAGATGGAGGTTTCTTGTTTTGTTTTGTTTGTTGGGGTGGGGGGGAAGGGAAGGCTGCAATTCAGCCATGCAGGGTGGCAATATGACATTTAAGGGTAACATTTCGGTATCAAGGTGTTGCTAAGGCAATCACATGTTCTTGGCAAGACACTATTGTGGTCCAATGAGGTGGTTTCATGTGTTAATGGAGTCCATGAGTGATTGCAAATGTACATGAGAGATTGCAAATGTACGATAAGTATGGACTAATAAGTTATTTCCAAGTTAGTATGATGTATGTCATTCGAAAATCATGAGGAATTTCACTTTCTTTAAGGCAGGTCAAGGCTTAAACTTTAGGAAAGGTCATTGAGGCTGGTACATCAGCAACCAAACCAAATACCCTGGGATCTCAGGCTCTCAACAAACTGTGACATGATAGGGGAGGTGGGCCATTCTGATAGCAGCACAAGGAGCAGTGGTAGCCTATTGAGTTCTGCTGTCTGCACAGGCAGTGCATGAGGTGTATCAAGATGCTCTGCAAAATGAAGAATCGTTTCTTGAGGGGTTTGCCTGAGGAGGGGATGGATTGTGGAGTCGGAGATGTGTAACTGCAACCATATTTCATTGGAGCTATGCTTGTGAAGAAGACTTTTAAGAATTAATCCCCCCTTATTTCGGCACAACGGAAGCAAATATAACGGACGTAGAGATCTAAACAACAAACAATAATACAAAGAAGAGATATTACAACTATTCATTATTAAAGAAGAGATATTACAACTGTAGAGAAATGAGAATACACTCACAGCCTCATAAGAAATTACACCGGTAGGGACTTTGACACCGAACCGTCTACACACACTCTTTGCCCAAGGTATGGTGCTGGATACCCGAGCCTTTCACGATCTACCACTCCATGAGCCCCTGCTTGCCATAGGTATTCTACCACTTGCTCATCAGCTCTACCCCCCACACACATTGATTTCTGAGACTACATCTCTATACACTCGGTGCCTCCTTTGCACCCACTTTCTCCTCTCTTCTTTTTCTCGCTCGCCCTTCCATTGCTCTCGTCTCTTCTCTAACTATTCTCTGCATACCATGCCTATATTTACAGGAGAGCTTTTGCCGGCTTAACACATCGTCTCAGACAACAGTGCATTAAATGCACTGTAAATACATTTCACCAAGTCTTGCTGACACACCTTTTACTCCTTTTACTTTCACATTCAATGCATGCAAATATACCATTCATTGTATACAAATTCAATGCATTTACACCATGTAACCACACACACTTTCATATTAGCGTAGCTTCACCGCCACATGTAACCCACATATTCTCTTCACTGCCATATGCATTTAATGCATGTGCACAACTTTCCTTTTTCATTCATGCACTGAGACCATTTTTGCCTTTCTTCATCCACCAATAAATTTGAGCCAACTCAACAAAGGCAGCAGCAATGTCTATGGGGAAAGATCAATTGCATTTTTTGCAAAGTGAGCAGTCAAACCTAGTGTAGGCATTGAGGGATTCTTATGCGTGGAAGATGGATTGCACGACTATTCAGCCCTAGAGTGTGGGCAAGTTGATCTAGAAAGCCAACTACACGGGTATTATTATTATTATTTTTTATATTTCTGTGGTTTGTTTAGAAATGGCAGAGAAGATCGTGACAGTGAATTACCGATTTGTCTGTTTGTGTGCGGGTTAAAGCTTTTATGAAGTGAAGAATTAATGAAAGAAGAAAGAGAATGGATTTAGCATAAATGTCACTCAACTGCTTGTGCTACTTCAACCTTCCATCTGGCTCTTCATCTGGAGTTTTCTTGTCTCTCCTTTCTTTTCTGGCTTGAGTTCTCAATAAGGGAACTCTTTCTTCAATAAAGGTTTGGGATTTGATCTTGGTCTATTAGCCTTTCACCAGTGCCACATTCTTATCTGGCCTTACTTGTTGACTTCCACTAGCTCTGCCCTCGCTCTCTGTCTATCCAAGGGATGGAAGGGCAGAGGCCTTTGCTGTCCCCTCCAGTCAAGAATCGGGGCCTCACAATCACTAGCCAATATGCTTTTCTCTCATGCCTTTCTCCGTTCATAACCAATATGTAAGGTGTGCAGTAGTGGGGATAACATTGCTTCTGTTAATAGCTTGAAGTTATAGGACTTGGACCACTTGGTCCCTTTTGGAGCTCTGTGGGGACCTAGCACATGTCCTGTTTAGAAAGGACCCGTGTCTTATGGTTCTTTCCACATGTCAACTGGAGATTGGAGATAACATCTAACTTTTTGGGTAAGATTTGGCGATAAGGTTGTTCCATTGTGAATTAGAGGTCACGGGGTTCGAAACTGGAAACAACCTCTCCATGCGAAGGTAAGGCTGCATAAATTTTACCCTCCCTAGACCCCACAATGGCGGAAGCCTCGTGCACTAGGCTAGCTCGTTTAATTTGGAGACTGTCACCAGTCTTGATACAGGATAGTTATGTGAACTCTTGTAGATAAATCATGTGGCTACTTGAAGATGCCATAAGTGTTCCACCTTGGCATTATGTGGTACCGTGAGGTTGCCACCTTGGTAATAATCAGGAACGCTGTGCTTAAGTACCCATGCTCATAAGGAGGAGTTGCTATAGGATTTCATTTTCTTTTAGGGATTTTCCTGCAAGGCTGCATTCTATGGCCTTGGGGTTGTGGATGCTACCATGTCTTTGCCACCTGATAAAATAATGCTCATTTCTCTGGAACATGTATACAAACAAAAGCACCAGTCTGTTTGAGATGGCATTTGTTTAAACTGATAAAGCTTTTGACAGATTTTTGCTTGCACAATCTGCAGATGTGATTAATATAATGTGTGTTTTTGTTAATTAGATTGAGCACTTTTATTTATTTATTATTATTATTATTTTTAAAAAAATGTATTAAGATTTCAATTGAGCCAAAGCGCTTGTGTTATTCTATAACATCATTTGCCCAGTCTTTTGGATTTTTTTTTGTACATATCTTAGCAGTGCTTTGCGGTTGTTATGGGGGGACCTGGCTAGCCAAAGATAACCTGGGGGACTTAACATGTTGGTTCTCTGAACCTGGGGGACTTAACATGTTGGTTCTCTGGGGCTTTATAACTTTAAGACGTTTCAAATCTCTGCCTAAAGCAGTCACCATTAAATGCTAGAATCTGCAAATTAACTTTTATTTGGTTTGCATTCTCACCATAATTGTATCAGTTCAAATTAGTGAGGGTAGCTTCTTTCAAATAGTGTGCAAGCATAAGTTTTGATTTCTGGTATAGTTCAAGTGTTGTGGTAGTTGTCCATCAGATGTAGTTAACTAGTAAGTAACGGACCTCACGGTAGACTTATAATTAGGGTTTCTTTTGCCTTCACAAAAAGGTGAAAATTTTAGATTTGTAGTTGTCATTTAATTTCACATAGCAATTTTGCTTTATCAGCAGATATTCTTTTCTCCATTGTTCTCATTTTTATAAGTGATCTTAAAGAGTAGAGTGCTGGGCACGCAAGAAATATATGTTCTGTAGAGACTTTGGCCTGGAAAGATGTTGATTGAGAAGTAAATATACTTTCCAAATATAGTAGAGCTCAATAGTTTATCTATATTAAAAGCTTCCAGATTGAAGTGGGTGGGAAATGCATAAGGTGTCTGAGAAATTGGAGTTGGTGCTAGTTAAAGGTGTTAACAGGCATTAGGGTGGCTGTGTAGGGCATGGATATGCTAGTGTTGCAAATCAAGTAAGCCAAACCAAAATAAATTTATGATGGTTTGGGTTGGTTTGGTGTGTTTAATACATATTTGTAGAGGAGGACATCACTGAGCCTGGATCTGGAAAATTTCGGGTGCTTGGAGAGATGGATATCGTACATGCCTAACCTCTTTACGTCTGAGATGTGGTTGCTGTTAGGGTTTGTTATTGCGAGGATGCAATTAGATCTATAGCGGGTGGTTTCAAATGAGATAAGGAAGATATACCCCTCTTTTGGACCCAAAAATTGATGCTTTGGTCCCATGCCAATCAAGAAGTCGTTTTAGTTTGAGACGAAAGTGCCCTTAGTTCAAGTTTTAATCATTTTAATTTTGAGCCATATTTGTTGAAATTTTTTTGTTTATTAATTATTATATTTGAAACTAAAAATATATTTTGTTACTGTAGTAGTGCTGTTGCTGAATACTTTGGGAATCTATTCACACTTGGTGACTAATTGTTAACACTAATTGTTGGTGTCATAATTGTTGAAACCAATGCACAAGTTCTTTCTGGGAGTCAGCTGACACTCTCTATACCCAGCCAACGTGAGATGGACTCGAGGAAACTGGTGATGAGATTAGCTCAAGCTCACGTGACTTTGGGGATTGTCAATAGTGAATTTATTGAGAATTAGAAGCCTTTTGCTTCTCAATTGATTTTCTGATTTATACCATAAACTCCAGAAATGTAGTGAAACAGTTGAGCTCACTGGGTTGTGCCCTTTTAACCTTTCCTCTCTTCAGGATAATCTGTCCCACTTCAAATGGAAACTTCTCTTCTAACCCCCTATTTCTATGTTGTAATTTTATTACAATCCCTTTCACATTGGACACTTGGAGACCATAATTTTTTTCCTAGTTGATACTCCCCCACCCCTACCCCCACCCCAAGGAACTATTTGCACCCAAGAGAGTCGAACCTTAGACTTGATGCTTCATGAGGCACCAACCAACCCCCTTGGGGTTGAGACCATTTTGTCAATGGACACTTGGAGACCATTATTTTTTTCCTAGTTGATACTCACCTCCCCCCCCAAGGAATTGTTTGCACCCAAGAGGAGTCGAACCTTAGACTTGATGCTTCATGTGGCACCAGGCCACTAACCCGCTTGAGCCAACCCCTTGGGGTTGAGACCATATTGTCAATAGAAGGTCATGTCTCACCATTTTACTTGTGACGTGTTAGCTGCAATCCTATACTGAGTAATCAAGTGATCATCTAGGCCTATTTTAATATGAAATTTGTACTGACTTCACGTAATCAAGTATATTTTTCAAAATTTTACTCAAAAAATTAATTGCTTTATGTGTAATGATAATATTTTTCTTTACAGGGACGATTTGAGATTATCTCTTTATCGGGTTCCCTCTTGCTGTCAGAAAATAATGGTAACCACAGCCAAACAGGTAGTCTGAGTGTGTCCTTGGCAGGGCCAGATGGTCGAGTTTTGGGTGGTGGAATTGAGGGAATGCTAGAGGCTGCGACATCAGTTCAGGTCTTGATTCTGCTGTTTTTTATCTTCCTATTGGTTTTTGTGCGTGTGAACTCTCCCACATTGTCAATTCGAAACTAAATATACACCTGTGCATCTTAGATAATTGTAGATCTACACAATGCTAAGTCTGAAAAAATCAGGACTAGTGTCCCACACTTCCGGAATTGTTAGGGATCTATCTATTTGCATTTCTTCATTTTACCTTAGTTGTGAACAATTTTAATTTATTTCCAGGTAATTGTGGGAAGCTTTCTTGAAGATAGAAAAAAAATAAAATCCGGGCTTCCTTCAACACCTAGCTTGAATTTTGGTGCAGCAGTTGCAGCAGCAAGTGCTCCCTCCCAAGGAGCCTCAAGTGAGTCATCCGATGAGAACAATAACGGTCCTCTTAACCAGGGGGGTTCAGGATTTTATAATAATGCTAGCCAACCCATTCATGGTATGTCAATGTATTCAAACATGGACTGGCAAACTCCACGGTAAAGTTGCTTCCCAACTGACAACACAATTGTTTAGGATATTTTCTTAGTTGATGCTCTTATGGAGTTACAGGTTGATTGCGGATACTAATAGATAATTTCTAGGTGCTCTTCTTTTCTCTTCTAGACTTGAATACTTCTATGATTTTTATTTCGAGTTGGTTCACATTTTCTTCACTCAGATTTTTAGACATGTTATTTTAGCAGAGGGCATGATTTTCTATACCATGTCCTCTTAGGATCTCTTGGTTTAGATTTTGCTTGAATATCTTGTTTGATGTTAATAGACCTGATATTATATGTAAACCTGTTTTAGGAACCAATAACACACCCACCCACCCACCAACCACACTATTGTCCCAACGAGGATTGAGCTCTTGACCTCCCATGTTGGAGCAGGAACAGATGCCATTTGAGCTAAAGACTGTCTCTCTTGCTTTAAACCAAATTGATGTTGGACTCTACTTTCACCCCCACATTTTCAGGTGCAATTTTTTTTGGCACAAAGCCGAAACATACTAGCTCCTCAGAAAACATAGTTGCAGGTTTCAGTGTATAAATTTTTGTGGGGAAAACACACGCGATATTGAAGGTGTTAGCTTCTTTAACTATCCTGATTTTGGTTTTCATTAGCTTCGAAAGGTTAATGGATGACACACACAGAAACAAGAAAGAATACGATAAAATATGTTTTAGGGATGAGTTTTTAATTTATTTTGGCATTTTAATACAACAGATTTTTTCAATATAATAGTAATTTTATTTCTGTTATAAACTACGAGCATCAAAACCTTCGAGTATGTCAACACTTCCATTACTGTGTTACAATGGCATTGAACTAATATGGCAATTTTCTTTTTAATTTGTACAGTAACAAACTGGTTCTGCCTTTGAATTTCGGATGTTAATTTAACCGGCTCCTATTGGGACGGGTTTAGGATCATCACCCTAATAGGGTGGGGGTTGGGGAAAGGTTATAGTTTTATTTTTCCTTCCATTCTTATGATAAATTTAAAATTTAACAATATTTTTGTTATTATAATTATTAAATATTTGAATATACTTATTATTATTATTATTATTTATGAAATTTATCTCAAATTTGTTTAAACTTGATTTTTTTTATAAAAAAAAAAAAATGTATATCGGGGTGCCACACTGCCACAAATATGGTGCAAAATCACCTCCAGTGAAGAAACTGGCAGGATTTGGGTTGCTGAAAATAAGGGAGGAAAGAAGAAACAACAGCATTTGTGAACCGTGTATATATATATATATATATATATATATATATATATATATATATATATGAAAATTGTGTATAAAACAAATATACATTTTTACCCACTTTAATAACTTCTGTTCATTAACAAAAATGGAGGAAATTTCACTGGAGGTGATCTTGGTCCCACAAATATGTCTCAACTCGATGCGAGTACGGGTGGGGTGGATTTTAGAAAAGGATTTTTGTTAGAAGAACGGATTTTTGTTAGAAGAACGGGTTTGGGAAAGGGGTGCCTCCTGCTCTACCATTCCACATTTTTTTAACACTAATACATAAAGCTAACGCTTGATGGACACTTAATTTTTGCTTATTATTGTCGACAATCCGGTCCTGGTTGTACGTGTATTTGAAGAAAATGACTCTCTCATCCATGTATAATAAACAAATAAAAGGCCATTTTTGGTGTCGGTTCATTAAGATGCAGGGTGTTGGAAGGAAATGATTAGAAACAAAAAGATAGCATACATTATGAAGGCCTTCATAGCCCAGCAGTGGATTGCTCCTTCTTGTCTTTGAGAGCCCCATTTTGGGCTTTGCACCTTTGACTTCTAATATAACATTTTTACCCTGAAAAAATAAATATTAAAAAAAAAAACAGTATATATTGCATTGAATAAATATTTTTATTGCATGTATTTGGTTAAGGTGAAATTTTACAAAACCGTTATAGGACTATCACTGTAGAATTCAAAAAAATTTAGAAGTCTGGAAGAAAATCCTCTATTTTCCCCCCTTTTAGAGAAAATTAATCAATTGTACAAAATTTTTATTGGGTTTTTAGCTATTTGATAACAGAAAACTGTTTTTGAAAAATTAAATCATACTCTCTTTCTTGATTTTTATTTTTTTGCTATCCAAAATGTTGTAAAGTTTTAAAAATTTCCTATACAATGCCAAAGAAAATGAAAGGTTTGCTTGTATTGTACTATATTAATAGGTAGTTTGGACACTTGATGTGTGTTGTAGTCCAAGATTATTCCGTCGTATGATTTTTGTCTAATTGTTATATATAATATACTCACCGACAAAAAAGACCAAATATATATATATGTATATATATATATACATAGAGAGGGAGAGAGAGAGAGAGAGAGGGGGGGAGAGAGGGCCCATTGAGAATTGACGACGGTGATACCAAAGAGTCGTCGACGACACAGGCCAATGGGTAGACGTCGACGACTCGGCGGTTACCGGCAAATACATTCAGCGTCAAATATAGGAAAAATATAACCAGACCTGTCTCAATTGACACGCCCAACACTAGATTACTTACCTCTACGCTTCTAATACAAGCCTATCTATATTTTACCAATACATCACAAGTACTTCACAAGTACCTACCAAACATTCAACTTAAAACATCAGCAATCGTGAAAACAAAATGATGGAACTTTTAATATGTTTTACGATAAAGATTGTATATAATTAGATTATTAAAACATGCCACCTAAGTATGAAAAAGAAAACTTAGAAATTCTTATATATATGTTAGGTACTTTTTAGTAACACCTAACAAGGACCTCTCTCTCTCCTATATATATATTAAAGACTTTTAAAGTTGATGAATAACAACTGTAACAAAAAATAAAGGACAATTATTATTATTATTATTAATATATATATTGTGAATATTTTGTTAGGGTCTGTTTGGTATGTGTTTTGTTTTTATATTTTTATTTTAATTCAAAACAATAAGTGTTTTGTTATACAGTGTTTTGAATGGTGATGTCTATTTGTTGTAAAATTTTTGAAATAAAAAACATAAGAGCATGTGTGGTAAAAAAGTGTTGCAAGTTTTTAAAATATAATGACTAATTTCATTTTGAGTTTTTGATAAAAATTTTTTGGATACTGTTCATTGCTATTGCACCTGTTACTACACAAACATGTAAAAATACCAAATTGGTGTTTTAACTTTTAGATCCCTATTTACTAAACATTTTGAAAATGTGTCAAAAGAGAAAATAATAAAAATCCATTGTTTATTACTACAATATGAGACAAAAATAAAAACACTAAAAGCAATGCATACCAAACATGCCGTTATTTAGCGACTTGTGTTCTATAAATATTAAACAATTTAATTGGAGCGGGAGCATGAGAGCGGCAAAATTATGTCATAAATAGTGAGAATTTGAACGAGAGCACGTGTGGAGTGTGAGAACACGAGTGTTTCGGAATGTGAGGGTGATATCAATTGAGAAGAATTGTGTGACTTAGAGTAAAATTTCATAAATATTAAATAATTTAACTGGGGTTATATATTTACTTAATTAAATTTATCAATCATTTATTCATAAAATTCACCAAAAAAATATTTTAAATACATGCATAAATATATACACAACATATACATGTATAAATAAGGGTTAAGTGCACTAAACCTCCCTGAACTATGACCCAATTGTAAGAAACCCCTCTGAATTAAAAGTAACCCCCTAAACTATAAAAATGTTGCATTCCAGTACAATCCGTCAACCAGCCGTTAATAAAAAAATAAAATTACCTTTAAGCCCTTTAGTGTAACGGCGACGTTTTTGTGTTAATGGGAATTAATATGTTGACGTGGCTAGGAAATTTCCAATAGCCAAAAGAAAAACGACAGCACACATACTTACCTTATCCTTACACAAAAACTGGCACCAAAGTGACCAAACCAACCCTTACATCAATTTATGGCACCAAACAATTCTTCCCCATCTCTCTCTCACACAGATGGCATCCAAGGGGTGGAAAACGATTCTCTCAGTCAGATATAACAACAGCGACAGCAAAAGGATCCTATCTAGGGTTTTAAGTGCTATCTCACAGTCCTCAATCGAGTACCGAGGCAAGCAAACAAACGTCGAACGCTGCCTACGCAACGATGCGCCTTATGAAGGGCATAGAAAAGGGCGCCTGGATCGCCGATTCGCCGGCACGACGTTCCTCATCGTCGTCTTGCGCTTATCGTCGAGATGGATCGCGGTCTGCAGCTTAATGAGCTTGAGTTACAGCAAGCGAGTTTACTCGGTACCCTACTTGCCTAGTACGAATTGCCCTCTTTGCTTCATGAGGTGCTCCGGCTTCTTTGGTATGGACATGGTCCGCATCTGTTCTCTTCCTTCACAGATGCAATTTCAAATTACACTCCTCCCAAAAAAAGAAACTCTTTGTCCTCACTCACTTGTCTATATGATTTTTTTTTTTTTTACCCTTTCTGTGAGGCTATCACTTTGGGGATTACATAATTAGTAATCCATTGTCATAGATAAAACAAGTGTAAATGAGAATTGAGAAGCAAGATAACAACTGAACTGATGCCCAGTCAAATAAATAAGATAATTGATTCCCATGAACAAATTGTGGAAGATGGATTGAGGACAAATAATGGATGATTAATATGCCAATTACCAAGTGAGCATTTACCGATATATATATACACCCACAGATAGAGATATATAGAGAAAGAGAACACAAGTTGAATAATTCTTAAGATTTGTTGTTGAACATAAATTGTGATTTTTAAAGATTTGTTGTTCAACATAAATTGGGGATTTTCACGTAGATAGATATATAGTGTATATGTATATATAATAATGGGTTTAACTGTCAAGGGTAGTTTAGGCATTTTCAAATTGGGCAAGTCATGTGTGTCACGTGCCTTAAGGTAGTGTTAAATTTCAGACAGCAATCTAACGGCTTGCAACAATTGGAATAGTTTAGGGGGTTAAGTGTCTTTCTAATAGTTGATGGAGGTTTTTTGAGAGAGAGAAAAAAGTTTAAGGGGGTTTAATGCAATTAACCCTATAAATAACGAAGTACAGTAGGATCCATAATCGTACAAATCCCCACGCGCTTTTGGGTGATCTGCGTGGAAGTCAGTGCTAATTATTCAACCACAAGATAGTAC